TTCTAACTGCTTCAGACAGTCTATCGCCCTCTTCCTGTAGCCACTTCCTGGGTCTCGTTTTAGGGGCTCATAAGTATTTTCATCACTGAGTAGTGGCAAAATCTTCTCATGATAGTCTTTCTGGTTTAGCAATACTGTGCACCTACCCTTGTCTGCCGGAAGGATGATAATGTTGTTGTCATCACTAAGTGATGTGAGTGCCTGGCTGCCGGCGGAGCTCACGGGCGCGTCACTGCAACCCCCCCTGGCTTCTGCTCCGCGGCTGCTGGGTGAACCCTCATCTGGGACTCTCCTCAGCTCTTTCTGGGACAGTGGAAAATAAAATAAATTCATAATTATAATAAAGGTCAATCAAATGGACCAATATGGCAAGGCCATGATGATCCACTTGGTAAAATAAATCCGCTTGGCATCTTTCTTGGCCTTCAGACAACAATTCTGATGGCTAAAGATCCAAACGGGACACAAGAAAAAAAAAAAAGTGATGTGAGTGCCTTCCTCTCCTCCATGGGGATGTTGGATGCTGGGGGCTTTGCATTGCTGAGACAGGCCGAAACTTTCGTCCGTAGTTGCTCTGCTTCCACTTCTGCAATATTGTTGTTACGAATTGCTGTTTCTGTGGCTGTGATCAGCTCCACTAGCTTGGAGATTTACTTTCCTGGATGACTGAGAATGCATCAAGACATTGTACTGGTTCATTTATTACTTCACAGTGTAACTTTTTCAGCAGCTATTTAGAAACAACTCAACGTCCTTTTGGGGACAAAAACTAATCCTCTCAATTTTAGACAAGGTTCAAGCTGATGTTTGACGTTCACGTCCAATCACAGTTTTTCATTTGGGTGATAAGTAACAAACGTCCATGTCAGTAATGTTGTCATTAGTGAAATACAAAGCAGTCAGTTTCCATCCATCAAATGAACAAACAGCAGACATGCTGTCCTTCATGTATAATATGATTTCTTCATTTTCCAGGTGGTAACTATGACGAGTCCAGAGGACTTTGCTGAGTTCAAGTCACTCATTGAACTGGAGAAAGATCTATCATCCAAGCCAAGTGGCCGACTGAAAACAGCAAACACACAGGATTTATTGGAGCTGATGGAGGAGACGTACAGAGGAGAGAGTGTGGAGGAGACCAGAAAGGCTTTAATGAAGATGAACAGGACTGATCTGGTGCAGAGATTATCAGGTATCACCTCATGAAACGCAAAAAAGACAACAAAGACTTAAATATGTGAGAATACTGCACATAGTTTATCACATTCATATGAAACCAGGTGCTGACTGATAGAAAAATCTCTTGACTCTGTGTTGTGTAGTGAATGATGAACAAAGACGTTTATATTTTCGTGCTGCTTTTTATAACGTGGATTAGAGCAGAATATGTGCAGGTCAGGCAGGCTGGCTCATTACAGGAGGCTCAAACACAGCACACTACAAAATAATAGCAGCTTATAGCCGGTGTGCAGTGATATTATGTGACTGTTTCAGGACTTCACAATTACAACAAACCACTGAAACTCTTCTTATTAACAGTTAGACAGTTACAGAGGTCACATGCTCTGTATAGTGGTCGCACACATGCTGATACCTAATGATCCCACACAGTGCAGTGATCCACTGCCTCTGAGAGAGGGCGCCATTGAGCCAATAAACATCACAAATCCATTGTGGTTATTATGGAATCACATACAACATAAACACTGTTACACAAGCTCAGTTACAGTATTTTGATCAGATCAGAACAAAAACATCCAACATCATTCAACATGGTTGGAAAGTCTTCAAGCAGCTCTACAGGTTATAATTATGTCACTATTAACCCTCATCATACTGACTGAAGTCTGTGGTAGATTTTTGTCATACCTCACAGATGTGTTTTTTTTTCTATCATTTAAATTTTTAATGAATTTGTCAGTTTGTTGCTAATGTTTCACACAATTTTCTATTTCTGCTTTGATTGGTGCTTCTTCAAAAATACAAATGTTTGTAGGTGTCAGAGGACTCCAGTCAAACAATTCCACCTTTACAGTTTTAATAAATGGGACTTATTAACTGTATTGTGAATTTATTCAGTTGCAGCTGGTCCTAAATTAAAGTAACACACAGTATCTAGTATCTGTCAGTGTTTATAAAGAAGAAAGACTCAGATGCCATCACTGCCTTCATCGTCTGGATGGGGAACTTTCCAGAAGTTATGAGAATGTTGGAGACGTAGCTGCATCTACTGTACCTGAGAGAGCTGGAGTTCTCTGGTCACGCAACCCATATCAAGGAAGCATGTAACAGACACGCATGTGCAGCACGCTTTGGAGAGACAAAGCGCTTCATGGAGTCACGACCTCCAGCTCTCACTGGGGCAGTTTGAATCTGAATGTGCAACAAGTGGGTGAAAGTAGCACCTCCAAGTTTTAGGCCATGGTTCTCAGCTGGTAAAGGGTGGAGTGCTCACTCCAGGTCACGGACGAGTTCCCCCATTTGGAGGAGTTTAAGTATCTAAGGGTGTCGTTCACAGGGGAGGGGAGAGTGGAGCAGGAGATTGACAGATAGATTAGTGCTGTGTTTGCAGTGATGTGGATGCTCTGCTGATCTGCCCTGGTGAGGAGAGAGCGGGCCCTGATGTTTTAGATTTGTAGGTGGAGCTATGTTCCTGCCCATGCATATGGTCACAAGCTCTGAGGACTGAAAGAATGAGATTATGGATACAAACAGAAATGAGTTTCCTTTAAGTCTATCTGGGAATGTCCTACCAGGAGGAGGCTGCTGGACAGATCTAGACATGTCTGGCTGATCCCAGTTGAGTTTTGTATTGTTTATTTGCCCTTTCTGTAAACAAAGCCATTTTTTGAGTTACGTCTTGTTTCTGTGAGTCTGCATCTGGGTCCTCTCCTGCCAGCACACAGCCGCTCCTTGACACCCACCCCCTGCATGAGACTGTAGGAGCACTTTTACACTCACAGCGTAGGAAGGAGCGCTACTGTAGGTCATTCTCAGCAGGTTATCTTACTCATCAGCTTGTTTGTTCACTGTGCATTTCACCAGAATCTCACACACACACACACACACACACACACACACACACACACACACACACACACACACACACACACACATAAAAGTGATCAGCGATCAGAGTATCCTGTGTGTGCTCTCATTCACAAAGTTAGGCCTCTCTCTAAAATCATTATTAACGAGTTAACGAGGTTTAAGTGTCACTTTGATGTGAAATCTTTCATGTTCTAAATCCTCATAAAGCCTGATGATAAAACAGTTTCTAATCTGACTTTTTCTCTTTCTTTTCTCCTCAGACAAACAGTTTCCTCCACTGAGCCAGAGAGTGAGTAACGTCACATCAGTCGACTTCACACAGTTCAGCTTTGATTCAGTAGATGAAGACTGAAAATGATCTTCATCTTAAACACAAATCATACACATGAGATTCAAGCTGCAGCTTTGTCATGTACACATGAGTTTTATACATGATTGGTGTAGAAATATTAAACCTTATTTACATTTTAAAAGCAGATTAAATTCAAGTCTTTCTGTTTATCAGTAAAGATGTGAGCAGTTAAAGCTCCCCTCTGTTTGTAAAATCAGGAGACTCACTGCAGTTTTTGTAGCTCAGTCTTTGACAGAGTTACAGTCAGGCAGTAAAACAGAGTCACAAACCTGTTCATGAAAATTAAATCCTTCAAAAAGAGGAAAAAATGAGCCAAGAAATAAAAAACCAATCCAAGCAGGTACCCACCGAGCACCAGATGTTCATGGAGGTTATTTTCTGCTCTACATCTGGTCGACCGGTCATGACCTTAAAAAGACGCAGCTTTGTGTCTGAAGGTCAAAGGTCATCTTTTCAGGTTTTTAGAAAGAATTGGATTCAAACATGAATTTATTTTTAGCACACTAAAATGTTTCTGTTGATTAACAATCAAACAGACATTTGAATGGTGCATCGCTGTCATGTGACCTCTGTTTTTACCAGGTAGAAACGATGGAGTCTCTTATTGAGCTGCTTTTGGAGACACTGGCTGATCTGAGAGGCAGCGAGGTCAGACACTTCATCCAGATCCTGAGAAGAAAACATGGCTCAATGAGCCCCATGAGTCCGCCTGAGATGTCAGACCTGCAGGATGTGCAGGACGTGGTGTTTTTGATGGTGAGGACTTTTGGCCAACAGTCAGTGGAGAAGATCGTGGAGGTCTTAAAGGAGATGAAGAGGACTGATCTGGCTCAGAGGCTGACAGACAGCAGCTCAGAAGCTCAAAGTAAGATAAAGACAAAACATGTTAAAATGATAAAAGTGTTTCTGCTTCAGTTCATATTAGAAACAGTCAGATTTACAGAGCAAAGAGAGCATTGTTGACGAGCAGAAAATGATGTTCAGCAGGTTTAAATGTAACTTTTTTTTTGATCTCTGTGTATTTTTTTAAAGCTCGATTAGCTTTTATTAAACACTTATTTCTATTTCTGTTAATTTCTCTTTTTTCAGACAAACATCTGGATGAACATCTGTCTGCACTGATCCATAAAGTGAGTAACGTCTCATCTGTCTGACTCTGCAGAGTTCAGCTTTGATTCAATAAGATGCAGTTTGAAAATCATAATTTCATCATTTAGATTAAACAGTTGTCACAGAAATGTTTTTAGATTAAAAATCAAACATTATTAAAAAGTGTGTTTACATAAATACATCTTAATAAATAAGATAATAAAAGAAAACAAAGTGTTTCAGAGAAAACATTGAAAACATTCAAAGTTTAAAACAGCTACAAAAACATAAATCTGTAATTTTCTCAGTGAGGAAACATTTTTTCTTTATGAATGTTTGCTTTGAATGTTCCAGGTTGCAACAATGGCAGCTGTTACAGATCTGCTTTTAGAAACACTGGAGGATTTGAGTGATCAGGATCTCAAGCAGTTCAGGAGGTTCCTGCAGTTCACTTGTTTTCAGAAGAGTCTTCCACAAATCGAACTGAGTGTTGACAGAAGAAGAATAGTGAATGATATGATTGATAAACTTGGTCATCAGTCTGTGGAGGTGATCAGGGAGGTTTTAACAGACATGCAGAGAACTGATCTGGTGCAGAGGCTGTCAGAGAGCAGCTCAGGACTCAAAGGTAAGAGGAAATAATCTGTCAGAGTGTCTGTAATAACTTTAATACATTTTATTTATTCATTAAAGTTTATTTAACCAGAAAAAAATAAACTTGTGACATTAAAAATCTGTTTTACAAGAGTGTCCTGGCCAAGAAGGACAGCTGTACAATAATCATAAGCTGCATAAATTAATACAACAGATATGTTGGGATTATTCTTAACTGTGTGTGGAAGGATTTTAAATATAATATTACACCTTACAGTAAAAATTAATTTAAAGAATTAAATCAGAGAAACTCACAACAAGAACTGCATAATATAAACTTTATTATCATTTATAAATGAAAGAATTTGTTTCCTCTGATTTATTTTGGACAGACGTTGATAAATGAACACATTCAGGTTGTACAAACACAGTAAAATTAAACAGATTTGTTTTCATATTTCAATGTTTAAAGTAAAAATATTCAGCTTATTGAATCAGTGACTTTCTTTAGTAAATGTTGTTTTAAAGCTCTTTGAACTTCTTTCCTTTGAAAATATTTTTCTTTGTTTTTTGCATTTTGAGCTCATTAATATCAGTCTTGTGTTGTAAATGGATCTTTATGTTAGCTTTGATTGAAACTCCACTATGGAGACAGACGACCTGTATGAGGTAAATGATTCAAAGTCTTTTCAGTGATTTCTCTGTGATTGTGTAACTATGGCCTCCTCCTGCCTTCAGTCAGCACAGCTGAAAGTGAAATATTAAAGCTTTTTATTGTCAGGACTCAGTGTTATACTCAGGATGAGCACACATAAAGGACACACACAGTGTCTGTGTCATGTAGTTACAGTTTGTATTCAATGTGTTGCAGCTGCAGGATCATCAGCTGAAGGATTTGATGTGGAGGAAACAGAGAAAGGTCAGTGTCCAGAAAACACATGAATCAATAAATACACTCATTGATATGAAGATGAAGAAGATGAAGAAGAAGAATTACTGAATGAAACAGAACTGGATCATTTCCTCACACGTTGATAGTTTCCCATCAAATATGACTTCATGTTAACAAGTTTAATGTTGTTATTAATCCAACTTACAAGGATCATCAGAATGAAATCAAAGCATCAGTTATTTCAAAGTGTCTGATTATTAACACTGATGTTAAATCAGTCATGAATGAAGCTTTTAATCTTTCTTTTCTGTCAGAGAAACACTCTGAGGATGAACGTTGGCCTGCACTGATCCACAAAGTGAGTCATGTCACATCTGTCTGACTTCAGATCATCCAGCTTTCATTTCATAAACACAGGATAGAAATCTTCAATAGAAACAAATGATTTGATTTTGATTGGAAAAGTCAAAGTTTGATAAGTTGAGCGTGTGCAGTGAGGGAGGTCTGCAGCAGGTCAGAAAAGTCCTGAACTTGTTAACAGAAGCAGAATAATTGTTAATCAGCTGTTTGTGATCATTGTGACAAATATGACCAATGACATCATCACCTTATGTGATGGATGATGTCATCTAAACACATCTACATTTGTAAAGTGTTGATGAGAAAACAAACAAACCTGAAAGTGAGAAATGTCACATTTATCTCATGAACATTTTCTTTGAATTTTCCAGGTAGAAACGATGGAGTCTGTTATTGAGCTGCTGCTGGAAACTCTGGATGGTCTCAATGAGCGAGAGCTACATGAGTTCAATAAGAACCTGCGACAAATTCATCTTCACAAATATTACTCAGTCTTCTCATGGATGCCATACAAGTGGAGAAACCTGCAGGACACAGTGTTTCTGATGGTGCAGACTTACGGCCAACAGTCAGTGGAGAAGACCATGGAGGTCTTAAAGGAGATGAAGAGGACTGATCTGGCTCAGAGGCTGTCAGACTGCAGCTCACTGCCTCGAAGTAAGACAACAAAATCAAAACTCATTAAAGTCATAAAACTGTTTTCATGTCTCATAAATGTCTGACTAAAGTCTTCTTTGACTTTATAAATAATATTTGTAATAAAGACAAAAAAACACATCTTTAAAACATATTTTATGGCTGTTCTGGAAAAATCTACTTCAATAAATACATAAAAATGAGACCAGATTAAATAAAGATACTTTGTGAGGAGGAGTAAAAATGACTCCTTCATACTGTTTATTATTGCTGAGGAGGTTTCAGTGTAATTCTGCATATTGTCCATTTTTCCAAAGTCATATTTCCTGAATAATTGTCAGTTAGTTGTTAAATGTGTTTGTCATGAGTGACTTTGAGCACTTTTCTCCTCAGAGAAACACTCTGTGGATGAACGACGCTCTGCACTGATCCACAAAGTGAGTCATGTCACATCTCTGATTCAGTACAAGACAGCAGGCTGAAAGTCAGAGGACTAAAGTATCATCAGTTCTCATGTTGAGTCATTTTCTCATGATTTCTGCTGGATGTTTGTGACAAACTGAAGCTTCATTCAGTTTGACTTCTTCAGCAGTAATTTTCTGCAACACTAATGTCAGGATGTCTTTACCACTGAGGATGAGCTGAGGAAGTGTCAGCATGTACATTTGTCCTGACTCTTCAACAGGACAGAGAAATCTGAAAACATCAAACACTTTCAGCTTAAACAGGAAACTTTATTCTACTTACAAATATTAATAAAGAATGAAAGATAATGTGAAATCAGGGAAAGATTCTTGATGGATATATTTCAGTTTTTATCTGCACAGTGAGAGAAGAACTGCAGCCTGTAAAGAAAAAGTATTCAAACCCATAAAAGTGGATCACAGTTTTATATTTTCTTCATTTTTTTGATAAATGTACCGTGTGGCACAATGTTAAAGACAGAGACATGAAAATATTAGCCCCCCCATTTTATTTGATGCTCAGAGACATTTTCTTTTAGTAAAGCCACTGCAATGTAAGTTTTACTGTTGTATAAGTTCCGCCAGCAGAGGGCGCTCGGTCCTGTACGCATCGGTAGCTGACGCTACACTAGAAGAAGTAGTGTCAGTGGTGAAGAGGCAGCGTATGGCCTGCGCGCCAAAGAGAACTGATGGTCTTATTTTTCTGTTTTTACAGGTAAGCTGGGTGGTTGATAATATAAACAGATGTTATAAAAGTGACAGCCAGCAGTGGCGATTAATGATAAATGTCTTGTTTGTGGCGAATGTTAAGCTAAAGAGCTAATTTCCAAGTTGGTCCAGTTGTTAGCCTATGCAGATCCAAGTGTTAGACTGTACCGAAACTCTGAGCTCGGTGCAGGTGTATTTTTGGGTTAAAGCCACAAGATATATATTTTGCACAATAAGAGAAAGTGTGAATTGCTTTATGTTTAGTTCATGAAGAGTGAATGCTATAGAAATATGTTAAGAAAAACATTGATTTGAAAGAGATCTAGTTTAGTAAATACAGTTAAGAAGACAGGTTCATAAATAGATTAAAACAGTAGTAAAAACAAGATAAAACTGTAATGAGTTCACTATGTTATTCATGTGTATAGTAAAATGTATTTGTGTGATTTAACCAGTTTACAAAGGTGGTGCATGTGAAACTGTATAAGTTACTTGTATAAAGTAATGTCAGCTACACTAGAAGAAGTAGTGTCAGTGGTGAAGACGCAGCGTACGGCCTGCGTGCCAAAGAGAACTGATTGTCTTATTTTTCTGTTTTTACAGTTTTCTGTAAAAATAAATATGTTGCACGGGAGATGAGTTGGCCCATCATTTCAGCAGTGTAACATATTTTGGCGAGCCAGCCAGGAGGTGGCGCTAGTGAGTCAACACAATCACCAACCACCTTCTTTCCCAAGAGACGAACCTTCAACCAAAAGAAATGGAATCTCTGCAACCTCTGCGTGACGAAGTGAGTGCAGCCTTGTGGCAGTTGGAGAGAGAGCATCTTGTGGATGTCTGCAGGCGACTGAAATGTTCTGGCCTGGACAGCGCAGAGTCTCACAGCAAGACCAAGAGGACACTCATCAGGTTGGCAGAGGGCATGTTTGATGATGTGGAGAAAAGTGAGGAAGAGGATCAAGTGAAACAGTTTTATAAAGACATTGCTGTATACATCCAGAGACTAAGCAAAGGGGAGAGTCAGTCAGAAAGGGAACCCCAAGGCATAGAGTCTATGCAAAAGAAAGATCTTGAGAACACCGCATGTGCTACTCCAGTACATATTGCAGATTGCTCACCCAGAGCCCGACCAGAGGCAATGCGAACTCTTCAAGAGGTAACACTGAAGAGGGAGTTTAAAATCTGTGGGCAGATTGGAGAGCATGGGCAGAAGGACAAGCTATCCTATCTCAGCTTGATTCGCCAGATTGAGAATGGGAGTGAAAAAAGGCACTCGGAGACTGAAATTGTGGAAGCGGTAATTAGGGCCATTAGTCCAGGAACGCCCCTATGAGACATGTTGGAGATTAAACGTGGGTTAACACTTAGCAAACTGCTCACCATATTAAAGGGACACTATAGGGTAGACAGCCCCACTGAGCTTTACCATCAGCTCCTCAATATCTCCCAAGAGCCCAAAGAAACTGCTTTAAACTTTGTATTTCGTGCCATTGAACTTAAAGAGAAGTTGTTATGGAAAGCGGCAAATGAGGAGACAGATGAACTGTACAGCAGAGCCACCATCCAGCGCAAATTCCTCCGCTCCATTGAAACTGGGCTGCTCAGTGACTCTATCAAGTATCAGCTTCTGCCCCCCCTAAACGACATAACCATAACAGATGAAGAACTGATTGAGAAAGTCAATGAAGCTTCAAAGCTAGAAAATGAAAGATTTGAGAAACGGAAAAGGTCCACTGCAGCCAAGATTCCCAAGGTCCAAGAGCTCCAAACAGAATGCCAAACAGCCCTGACATCTGCTCAGAGCCCCTCCAAACCCAGAGAATCCCCCGCTACAGTGGCCATGACAACAGTAAAAAATAAAGAGACTAAGTCAGACACGCAGCAGATTATAGAAGAACTACGTAAAGAGATGAAACAAATGTTTATGGCTGCTATGGAAACCAGTCCCCGCCCCATGGCACCAAAGCAACGAGAAAAAGGCTGTAAAAAGTGCAAAGAAGAGGGGAAAGGAGGGAACTGCCTGCACTGTTTCAAATGTGGGCGAGAGGGCCACTACTCCCGTGGATGCCGAGCACCGAGACTGCCATCGGGAAACGGGGAGGGACTACTGAGATGGGACCAACAGTAGTCCAAAGCCCACGGTCCCATAATGAACAGTCAAGCCCACCAACATCCTCCAAAGAAACTGCAGCTGGTGTCCCATCAGCGATAACTGAGGTTCACTATCTACCCCCTCAACGGAAGTCACGGTTAGTAAGCCTGGTGGGAAACAGATGTACTGTGAACTGCTTTATGGACAATCACCCAGCTAAGGTGTTGTGGGATTCAGGGGCACAGTCCAGCATAGTAAATGAAAACTGGCGGCAAAACCACCTCCCTCACACGGTCATCAGACCTGTTTCAGAACTGTTAGACAATGAGACGCTCACAGTGTTTGCTGCGAATGACACACCCATTCCCTACATTGGTTGGATAGAAGTCAGCTTCAGACTAGGCAGTGATTTGTCTCCAACCAGTGAGCTGCAAGTTCCAATATTGGTATCCAGTGACCCGGCTGTGGCCAGTGATCCCATCATTGGCTACAATGTCATTGAAGCTATCGTGAACCAGGAAGAAGTAAAAACCAAAGGAGGAAGAAAACAGCTAGCACACTATGTGAGTAAAGCATTTGAAATAACTGTACGCACTGCACATAATGTTGTCAAGCTTGTGCAGAACAGCAGTGAAGGCCCAGAGACAGGTGTGGTAAGGACCGGTGTAAGAAGAGTGCCTTTGTCAGCGAACCAAGTCACTACAGTTTATGTACGGGCACACGTTAGTTCGCATGCCCGGGGCCAAGACATGCTCTTTCTACCTGATGGAGCTGACCCACCACCAGAGGGCATAATATTCAGTGATGTACTGGTGAAAATCCCAGACAGAAAAGTACCATATGTGCCCATCCCTGTGACTAACACTACAGACCACACCATTTATCTGGAGAGCCGTAAAGTGATTGGATACCTTGAACCAGTAAAGACTGTATACACAGCTGGCATCCAGACTAAAGTAAATGAGCTGACACAAGAGAACAAAAATGGTACAGAGCTAAAGTCACACAACCCGAGTAACACAGACACGAGAGAACCAACAGAGACCAAAGTCATGGGACCCACCAGTGGATCTCCAGCATCTGGATGAAAATCAGCGAGCGGCTGCGACAAAGATGTTGCGAGAGGAATGTGAGGCATTTGCATATGACAGTGACGATGTTGGCTGCATACCATCTCTGAGGATGCATATAAGCCTCCATGACACAAATCCTGTGAAAAAGACTTACATGTCCAATCCCAAAACCCCTGCACAACGAAGTGAAAGAGTATTTGCAAGACCTGCTTAACAAAGGCTGGATCACACCATCACGGTCCCCCTACTCATCACCTGTGGTGTGTGTCCGCAAGAAAGACGGCACACTCTGCCTTTGTTGTGACTTTAGGGAGCTCAACCGCAAGTCAGTCCCAGACCGCCATCCAATCCCGAGGATCCAAGACATGTTGGATGCTCTGGGCGGGAGCACTTGGTTTTCTGTGTTAGACCAGGGTAAGGCGTACCACCAGGGTTTCTTGGATGAAGAAAGCCACCCCTTAACCGCCTTCATCACACCCTGGGGGCTCTATCAGTGGGTACGCATTCCCTTTGACCTGAGCTCTGCACCCGCTGAGTTCCAGAGAAGCATGGAGCACTGTATGGCAGGCCTCAGAGACACTATCTGCCTCCCATACCTGGACGACAACCTGGTGCACAGCAGCAGCTTTGATGAACACTTGGAACATATCCGCCTTGTCCTCCAGCGTTACAGAAAGCATGGTGTTAAGCTGACCCCAAAGAAATGTGAACTGTTCAGGCGAAGTGTCAAGTTTCTGGGAAAGCTGGTAACAGGTGAAGGCTACACAATGGACCCGGCAGAGTTGGCCCCGGTGATGGCATTAAAGGAAAAGACACCTGCAACCGTCGGAGAGGTACGTCAAATGCTTGGTTTCCTCTCTTATTACAGGCCTTTCATCCCCAACTTCTCCCGTGTAGCCCATCCACTCTACAGCCTGCTCAGCCCTCCATCTTCTGAGAACTCTGCTCCAGTCTCAGTCGACAAGTCCAAAAAGGAAGTGAAGAAAAGTAAAGGCCACTTACCATCACGGGCGCCCATTCAGTGGACGACCTCCCACCAAGAGACATTGAACCAGCTTGTAGATGCACTTACACGACCCCCCATTCTCGGGTACCCCGACTTCACAGAGCCTTTTGTGTTACATTGTGATGCATCACAAGTTGGGCTAGGTGCTGTTTTGTACCAGCGGCAGCAAGGCAAGATGAGAGTCATAGCATATGGCTCCCGCACCCTGAGTCCAGCAGAGAAAAAGTACCACCTGCACTCTGGCAAATTAGAGTTTTTGGCTATGAAGTGGGCGATTTGTGAACGTTTCCGGGATTATCTGTACCATGCCCCATCGTTCGTGGTGTACACTGATAATAACCCACTAACATATGTGCTCACTACTGCAAAGCTTAACGCCACAGGTCACAGATGGGTTGTGGAGCTGGCCAGCTACAACTTCACCATCCGCTACCGTCCAGGCAAGACCAACGCAGATGCTGATGGGCTGTCGCGAATGCCGCTGGACATTGACAGCTACATGAAGAGCTGTACAGCTGAAGTTGGACAGGAAGCCATAAGCGCATCAATGGAGTCTGTAACGGTGGAGGAGAGAGACCCTTGCCAAGGCGTTGGAATTATCCAGGTGAGTGCTCTGAAATTAATCAACGATTCTGACACTACCCAGTCTTTTACACCAGACCAGATACGCAGAGTCCAGGAAGCAGATGAAGTTCTGGCAAGAGTGCTCTGGTATAAGTCGCTGGGTAGAAGACCAAGTAGAACTGAGGTGAAGTCAGAGCATCCTGCAGTAGCTGCACTACTCAAGCAGTGGTTGAAGCTTCACGTCGACCAGAATGGTGTCCTGCGTCGCCAAACATCACGCCGAGAGCAGCTACTGGTCCCTAAAGCCTATCGTCCCCTGGTTTTTAAAGAACTCCACCAAGACATGGGCCATTTAGGGGTGGAAAGAACGCTCGACCTGATTCGAGACAGGTTCTACTGGCTGCAGATGGCGAAAGAGGTTGAACACTTTGTTACAGAAGAATGTGAGTGTCTTAAGAAGAAGAAACCGAGTAAGCAGACACGTGCACCTTTGTCCTCGATCCAGTCCACTTACCCATTCCAGCTGGTGTCCATAGACTTCCTTCACCTGGAAAAGTGTAAGCAGGGCTACGAGTATATACTTGTTATCATGGATCACTTCACGAGGTTTGCTCAACCTATGCAACGAAGAACAAAGCAGCTAAAACAGTCGCTGACAAGCTCTTCAATGACTTTGCACTCAAGTTTGGCTTCCCGACCAGACTACACCACGACATGGGCAAGGAGTTTGAAAACAAACTCATGGCAAGACTGAAAGAACTCTCTGGTATCCAGGGCTCCCACACGACACCCTACCACCCACAGGGTAATGGACAGGTGGAGAGATTCAACCGCACCCTGCTGTCCATGTTGCGGACCCTGGAGGACAAGGAGAAGGATGATTGGAAAGAGTCGCTAGCTAAAGTCGTCCATGCGTACAACTGTACGAAGAATGAGGCAACAGGCTACGCCCCATATTACCTCATCTTCGGACGTTCCCCACGCCTGCCCATCGACTTGCTCTTCAACCTGAAAAGGGATGAAGCTCATGTGGACTATGATGACTATGTTAGCTGCTGGAAAAAGAGAATGCAGGAGGCGTACACAGTGGCTTCTCAAACTGCTACCAAGGAAGCTGCTCGAGGCAAAGCGTACTACGACAAGAAAGTTAAAGGGAGAGATCTTCAGCCTGGGGATAGAGTGCTCCTCCGAAATCTCACTCCTCGAGGTGGGCCCGCAAAGATCCAGTCCTTTTGGGAGAACCAAGTCTACAAAGTGAAGGAGAGGAAAGCAGATGACAGTCCAGTGTATGTGATCAGCCCTGAAAATGGCCAAGGCAGAGATAAAGTGGTGCACAGAAATCTCCTACTGCCCTGTGACTTCCTACCAAGTGAGAAGCCATCAACACAGACTGTTCAGCCCCAAAAAGACTCTCCGACTGTGACAAGGAAGAAGTTCAGACCTCCGCGTAGACAGCATCAGCCAGGGAATGGCGACACATCGGATGATGACGACAGTGGCACCTTCCAGTGGTACCTCAGGCCGGTTCCAGGGAGACGACAGAGGCAGACTCCGCTTAACCCTTTGGCAGAGTCCTTCCAGCCTCATCTGAGTCTCCACTGTCAAGAAGAGGATTTGCCACTACAGAGCGAAGAGGATTTGCCACTACAGAGCGAAGAGGCTTTGCCACTACAAACTGAAGAGACTGGGCCTGGGCAGATCCAAGGCCCTGACCCTGACAATGACAGGCCACTGAGTGGTGATGCTATGACTGACATTCTAGCTGCAACTGGTGGTGAGACTGACTCTGTGAGGCAGCGACCAACGGTACTGAGCTATGACACTTTAGGTCAGCCAACTTTGGTTCAGAGGAACTGTACAGTGACTATGGCTCAGGTTATTGACTGTAATGGCTTCTGGAGACCATGGGCTGTGGGAGTGTGTTAAAGCTATGGTTGAATAGATGATGCACACAGAAATGTCAGGTGACATTTAATTTTGTGGGGGAGAGTGTGGCACAATGTTAAAGACAGAGACATGAAAATATTAGCCCCCCCATTTTATTTGATGCTCAGAGACATTTTCTTTTAGTAAAGCCACTGCAATGTAAGTTTTACTGTTGTATAAGTTCCGCCAGCAGAGGGCGCTCGGTCCTGTACGCATCGGTAGCTGACGCTACACTAGAAGAAGTAGTGTCAGTGGTGAAGAGGCAGCATACGGCCTGCGCGCCAAAGAGAACTGATTGTCTTATTTTTCTGTTTTTACAGGTAAGCTGGGTGGTTGATAATATAAACAGATGTTATAAAAGTGACAGCCAGCAGTGGCGATTAATGATAAATGTCTTGTTTGTGGCGAATGTTAAGCTAAAGAGCTAATTTCCAAGTTGGTCCAGTTGTTAGCCTATGCCGATCCAAGTGTTAGACTGTACCGAAACTCTGTGAGCTCGGTGCAGGTGTATTTTTGGGTTAAAGCCACAAGATATATATTTTGCACAATAAGAGAAAGTGTGAATTGCTTTATTTTTAGTTCATGAAGAGTGAATGCTATAGAAATATGTTAAGAAAAACATTGATTTGAAAGAGATCTAGTTTAGTAAATACAGTTAAGAAGACAGGTTCATAAATAGATTAAAACAGTAGTAAAAACAAGATAAAACTGTAATGAGTTCACTATGTTATTCATGTGTATAGTAAAATGTATTTGTGTGATTTAACCAGTTTACAAAGGTGGTGCATGTGAAACTGTATAAGTTACTTGTATAAAGTAATGTCAGCTACACTAGAAGAAGTAGTGTCAGTGGTGAAGACGCAGCGTACGGCCTGCGTGCCAAAGAGAACTGATTGTCTTATTTTTCTGTTTTTACAGTTTTCTGTAAAAATAAATATGTTGCACGGGAGATGAGTTGGCCCATCATTTCAGCAGTGTAACAACCGCAACTAGTAAATAGGCGCTTGTGTTTGGCTAAATAAATATGTGACCCCGTGATTGTGTTTATTGTTCCAGGTGGCAACAATGGCAGCTGTTAAACATCTGCTTTTAGAAACTTTGAATGATTTGAGTGATGAGGAGCTCAAGAAATTTAAAAGCCTCCTGCAGACGATCATTCCTTGGAGGAATCTGTCATTCTTCTCATATAGGTTGAGTCCATCATCAACCAGAGCAGATATAATGAATCTGATGGTGGATGAAGTTGGTCATCAGTCTGTGGAGGTGACCAGAGAAGTTTTTATGCACATGAACAGAACTGATCTGGTGCAGAAGTTACCAGAGAGCAGCTCAGCATCCAGAGGTAAGACCAACATGCATGAGTGTAAACTCTGTGTCATCAACAGGTTTTTGTGTTGGTGGTGTCATGGTGGTGCAGTGGTTAGCACTGTGTCCTCACAGCATGAAGGTTGTGTGTTTGAGCCTCCTGGTTGGCTGGAACCTTTCTGTGTGGAGTTTGCATGTTCTCCCTGTGCCTGCATGCTTTTCCTCAGAGTGCTCTGGTTTCCAGTCCAAACACATGCTTGTTGGCTTTATTGCTGGTTCTAAATTAAATGTGGGTGTGAAAGGTTGTCTGTCTGTTTAAAACCTGAGGTGGACAGGTGTACCCTCTCTCATTATCACAGCTGGGAACCCCCAGTTACTTTGGTTGGACAGGATGGAGGGTTTCTTTGTTGGGTTCTTGTGTCATTTTATTTAGTTTCACATGATTTTCTCTTTTAAATCATCTGTGTCGTCTGAAGGCTGATTCTACTTGGATGTGTGATGATGTTTGAATCCTCAGAGTTGATTGTAAATGTCTTTCCTCCTCAGAGAAACACTCTGTGGATGAACATGGAGCTGCACTGTTGAAGAGAGTGAGTGTGACTTTAACTCAGCTTTTGCAAAAAAATAGTTTTTAGTATTGATAGAAATGAAATAATGTTTTCTTATGAAACTTGAAGTTTTGCAGTTCATAAAGAGAGTGAAGTAAATATCAAAACCGCCAGCTGTCTCTTCAGTGATTATTCTAAAACATATAAATATTAATGAAGACATCTTTTTTTAATTAATATTTGATATTTCTACTACAGTTTCTCTGGAAATTAAATAAAGAGAAATCTTTAAATCGTCCAACAGAGATATTATACAGTAACTTAATACATTTCTGCGATTTTTCAGATAGAAGAACAGGAAGCTGTTAGACAGATTCTCTTGGAAACACTGAATGAATTCAGTCAAAAGGATCTCGAGAAATTTATTCTGTTGCTGCCGTTCACGTGCTTTAAGATGAGCCTGCCACAAACAAAGAGGTACTGGTGTCAAAACAGGACAGAAGACCTTGTGAATCTGATGGTGGATAAACTTGGTCATCAGTCTGTGGAGGTGACCATGGAGGTTTTAACAGACATGAACAGACCTGATCTGATGCTGAGGCTGTCAGAGAGCAGCTCAGGTGAGACCAAACAAAGTTTAATAAACAGATTTTCATAATTTACAATAAACTTGTTTAAACAACTTCTAATCAACAAACATTAAAATAAACAGGAAACACAACAGACGTCCAAAAATAACTTTGCATAAATGATCAGAGCTGAATCCAACCTTTCTCTCTGTCTCTGTCTTGTTCTGACATCACTGGTGAGAATATTTGGATTCATCAGCTTTTGATCATCTTAGACGTCACTCAGCTGCACGTCCTGCTGAACATGTTGTTCTGATGTTGAAGCAGCACTGCACAGCATAAAGTGATCAAACAGCAAACATGTGGACAGTTAGAGGATGATTTTATATGTCAGCATAACATCATTCATTTGAATTCTTTGTGTCTCAACAAGGACAAAAAACTGAAAGAAGTTCAGAGCTTGAAGGTTGTCAGAGCCTGACGGTAATCCCTTCCATTCATCCATTTATTGCTAAAGTTTCTTTCTTTATAAACATGTGTACTTATTGACTAAAGAGACTGTCCTCTGCAGCAGGACTGCAGTGATTGGACTAAACTTGAACCTGAGGTGAACAGTACAGATGCAGACGAGGCTCCAACTTACAGGTAAATCAACTTCCTGAATGCTGCAGCACAGCAAACTGGAACTACAGGAAACAGTTCAGCTTTGGATTTATTCCCAGAGGAAATTCTTCATTTTGCATCCGATTCACACGACTACTCTCTGTGTTTCCATTCACTCTGTTGTTCCTTCATGAGTGTGTATTTAATTCCTGTTTCAGCCTTCAGTCTGCAGCAGGACACTTTGAATGCAGAGTCTCGGGCTTGCGCTGGGTCTGTAAGGGAAAGACCAGCTTTCAGTACCAGTTTAGATCTTGGGAGGGACACATGGAGAGGATGGAGAGCAGACAATACATGCCTGCAGGTCCTCTGATGGACGTCACAGTCACTGCTGGGAAGTTAAATGAAGTTCACCTGCCACACTGGATCTGCATCGGTAAGAGGACATGAAGGAAGACTTTCAGATGTTTGACATTTCTGACAGTGAGCGCACAAACTGTTATAAACTGTTCTTCTCACCATGTTTGTGTTGTTGTGTTCTCCTGCAGATGACATCCCTGACATATTGGACACGTTTGCAGTCCTTCACATAGATGACTGTGGAGATGTTGTGGAAAAAGTGTCTGAGGTCACACCAACACATGTCAAGTTAACTGAACCGATTTTCTCTCCGAGAGCGGTCCTGGTGAAACTCGGCGTTCCTGTGAAAATCGGCTGCAACGTGTTGATATATCAGACCAACACAGCTTTCCTCACACTGCATGTTTATCTGATCCCACGTGATCCTGGGCTACAGCAGGTTATTACATGTTTCACAGTATAATAGGCAGAATTCAGAAGAATGAATAAATTAATATATAAAACATGGCTTTTTAGTATCTTTGCACTTTATTCTTCACAGGTAATGAAGCAGAGGGAAGTGCCCCATGGATACAAAGCTATCCTGAAGCCAGATCCAGAGAAGTCCTTGAAAATTCTTGATCGTTTCACACTAACAGCAGATGTGGATGGTGCAGAAATCTGTCCTGAAGTATGGTTTGAAATGCTTTCATTTCTTTCCAAATACATATTTGCATAATAGGCTGAGAATAAATAGTCCAGCTGTCTTCAGCAGCCTTCATGCATTTTACTGAGCAAAGAAAGGATTCAGTAAATATTCAATAAGAAGAGCTGATCTGGAAGAAGTGAACATGATTTACTGAGATAGAAAAATGAACGAATCTATTTGGTGATTTAACGCTGATGAACCTTGATTGCAGTGTTAGGATTTAGGACAGGACCCCCCAAAACAGTAAGAGCAATCTTACTGTGGCAGGGAAGTTTGACTCTATAGAATGAAAACAGTATTGTTAGCTCAAGCATGACCAAAGCACAGAAAATGAGTGTAATATATTATAATAAATAGGATATACTAAGTGATCGTAGCAAAAAGAAGGTTGGGAAGGGTAGGGTGAGGGAAAAGCAAGCACAATAGAGACCGAGCCTACATCAGAGGCTGGAGTCCTGGATGGTGAATGGAGAGCAGACAGAAGAGATTGAAGTCTGATGAAGCTCAGAGAGTGAAACGCTTGTTAGCAGGAGCAGAAACATGACAAAAGATACAAAAGGCTTTGATACACCACCAGCTATATGCTGACTTACCAGGACTTTAACATTTGAGTGACTTTGAACCAGGAAAAGAAAAAACATGAATGATGAGAGAAAACATGGATACAGGATGATGCTGGAACTGGATCAGATGCATGAACCATAGGCCGGTGCAGACCAGCAGTCCATTTGTGGACGAGAGAAGGTGGAAAGCTTTGAGAACCTGCTGAAGCTGCAGCTTTTGAAATATCACTGTGGAGTAGTAAAGGCAGAAATAGTAACTTACAAATATCCATACCATACCTCTCTCTTTCCCGTTGCTCTTTCTTTCTTTAACAGGATTTAAAGCTCAGATATCCAAGTGGAAAGCCAAATTTCTTTGAAGTTTACACTGAAAATCCAGATGGAAACTTCCACCTTAAACTCACATCAAAAAAAGATCTTCAGCCAGTATGGACCTGTACAGTTCGAAAAGGTTAACTTTACATTTTCAAATTTGTCATCACTTTATTGTATTAAATGAGTACAATTACATGTTAGCTCAACATTGTCAGTAAGCTATATGTAGCAGCAATCTTCGGTCCTTCTTTGCCGCTTCTGCAGGACGTACATTTTCTGACTCGTCCTTTTCTAAGATAGTTTGTGTCTTATTCTGTAGGAAGAAACAAGGCGAATGTAAAACAGGAAACATGTTATTTATTCCACGCAAAACCCAAAACTACAGAACAGATATCTCTGGTTGGAGCCCCGTTGACATTTTCCTGATATTATACCTAAAACAGCTATAAACAGTGACGGTCAGAAAAGTGTTGCCCATGACAGAAAGATGCAACGATATCTTCTATAAAATCCTTTTGGAAAATGAGAAACATCTAATCGATGAATTCAGTGCAAAGTAAAATCATACAATGGTGAAAAAACCTCTTTAGACCAAATAATCTACCTGAGCATAGATTCTGTTGGAAATGTCAGTGTGCAAGGATTTTATAAAACGTTATTTTACACTTATATTTGGTGAGATGTTTATGGTATGTGGGGCCTTTCCTGATCACCGAGCCTCTCATTCAGTTTCAAACTAGAAATGTCCCAAAATGTTCATGTAAATGTGCTGTATATCATGCAGAACAATCACTGAAAATACCAGATTTCCTCCACCTAACAAATATCAAAATGATCACAACTATACTTTTTGTGAAGATTTATTATTTGTTACATTTGAATATGAATTAAGTTTAAATTGAAAACCTTTCATCACCACACGGTGGCCCAATGCACACCGTTTTATTACACCTACCAACCACACAATAGAACAAAGCGGGATGAATTTATAGAGCGTAATATATTAAATTACAACATAAAATATTGAAGATTAAAATGAGAAACAACACAAATTAAAGATCATAACAAAATACTTAAATATGGCCGATGGATTGGAGTAAAGTTTCTTTAAAATTTTATATTTATACGTTTTATGTTCCTTGATTATTTTCAGCCGAATACCAAAGCACTGATCAAGCACAAGGTAAGATATTTCAAATTATTTGTATAATAACTGCATTTAACATTTTACAGTAGTGAGTTTTCTTTGGTTTAAATTTCACAAGTTTACCAAAATTTACCAAAATTTGTTGTTAATCCAGAGACGTTGCTCATCCATGCCATAGCCCAATTGTAGCGCTTATTGACTCCACTGTTAATTGTTGGTCGTATTTCATACTGCTGCAACTTGTGCCTGAGGAGGAGAGGACTTCATTTAGAAATCTGAGAATTTAAATCAGGGGTGCACACACTTTTTCAGCATGCGAGCGACTTATGAAATGACCAAGTCAAAATGATTGACCTACTATGAAAATGCAAAACATATATTTATTTATAAACATATGGAGTATTCATTCATGCATGTTGCATAACTGTATGAACCCATATTACACAACACAACTCTGTACATTTTTGATATTACCTTACTCTGATGACTTGCACTGAATGGAATCAACCAGGGATGCACAGTCTGGACGGTAGCTGCTGATAGTCAGCCTCAAGTACACTTTCAAATAATCATCAGTCATGGTGGAACGGTATTTGGACTTAATAATCTTCTGGGAAAAGGCTGACTCACATGAATAAGTGCAGCTGCAGTCAAGGAGGTAACACATTTCCTAATGTTGGGGTACTTTTCCTCTGCAAGTTCCAGAACTGTCCGTTAGCCCTGGACTTAAACTCAGCTTAGTGTCAAAATCTCATCCTCTATTTCAGAAAAATTCTGGTGAAACAGTGTATAATTCACCTGTTTTTCTTCATTGGTTCATTCGAAGACTTCTCTCCTAAGCCACTGTGAAAACTACACAGCATTAACAAAATAAACACTCAACGTAAGACACAGCACCTAAAATGACACTGTACAAGAAAACAAAGATAAAATCAATAAATACCTTGTTGGCTGCATGCTGCAAAAAGGGAATTACTCCCCATTCTTCTGAGGGTTCCTTATAAGTGTCTAGTTAAAGTCCATTCCACTTAACTTTCAATAAAGAGCATTACGGCTCATTCTTGCTACCTGCTTGCAGGTGTTTTCTTAGGCTTCCAAAAAGGAGACAACAAGACTTGTAAGCAGGCTTGACCTTAAAAATAAAAGCACCATAACTTGAACTACATAAAATAACATAGATAATGTACAGCTTAAACAATTTACAACGATGACATGGACCTTGACAAGATAAAGAAATGATCTAAATTATATAAACAATATCATCATGCCAACAGCTACACAGTGTTTCAAATTTTGATGCGAGTGAATCAACCTCTGCATCTTCCCAAAAAGGGTAGCATGTGAATGTATCGACTGCATCCATTATCTCTTTCATGTGGAGCAATTTTGCGCATAACGCTTGTTGGTGTATTATGCAGCGGTAATTGAGGAAATCCGGAATAACATTGTCCTCCCTGCACCTGGCAGTGAATCCATTTGAGTGGCAAACCATCCGTGGTGATGGACACCAATTTGTATACTGGGAGCCTGGTTTTCCCAATAAATTGATTGAAAGACTGAAAAATGTTTCAGTTTGCTAGCATAATGAAAGTTAAAAAGTTTGAACATTTGTTAAGAAACTAAAAACTTTCCTTGTTATTTATTAACAGCTGCAGGATCCTCAGTGGGAGCAGCTGCTGTCAGCTCTCAGTCGGCTGGTAGCTTCATCAATATTACCTGTTCTGTGGTTTTATATAATGTGACACATAGAACGCTGATGAATCCTAGTGAACAGTCAATCACACCTTTTTCCCGCCACAATTTTACTTTTCGTTAGCTTACATACTTTGTTCTGTCTTCAAGTTTTCATTCTAAAGGAGGAGCTCTCAGTCTCTCAGCTCTCGGTGGCAGCGAGTCACTAAACTCAATCCTGCTTATATTTCTTTCTTTACAGAGATAAATATAATATTCATGTATTCAGCCCTCTGTGAATCACTTCCTTATCATGCTGGAGGGGTTTGTGAGTCCCAGGCTTTTTCCTGAACAGCTGATTTCCTCCAACAGAGTGATGATGGTTGTGTTGTCTTCTAACTTCATGAAGATTAACAATCTGAACAGCAGCCTGTTTGACAGGAAGTCCAGTATCCAGTTGCACGATGTGTTCCTGAAGACCAGAGTGACGAGTCTGCCAGTCAGCTTCACAAACAGCCTGCTGAGAGAGAGTTTGTTATATTTCAGATGTATGAAGAGAGAGTGCAGGGCAGTGAAGACGACATCATCTGTGGCTGTATTCAGCTAACGACAGTTATTATTAAAGCTAACGCCTACTGGTAGATCAGCCCAGTAAATACGGTGTTTCTGTGTTTTTACTGGTTCATCTGTTTCACTTTCAGATGAATCCCAAAGAAGTGGTAAAGTACAAGGTTAGATGTTTCACATGATTTGTGTATAAAAAGAACTGCACTTTGTGTTTGGCTGTGGTGGGTTTCCTTTGGTTGCTGACCTCATATTTGAAGTACTGCAAAATGCCAGGGAATGAATGAATAAGCTCTTGTTCAACAATGGCACCAACCAGCTTTTCCAAATCTACTGATGCTGTTGACTGGACTGTCAAAATGCATAAATCGAGTCAGTTCTACTTTTACCACCAGATTTTTAGCACCAGTTAACGAATGTTTTTAGATGTTTTTTTTTTTTCTTTTTTTTTTTTTTTTTTTTTTAAGTTAACATGTTCTTTATTTCTTTTTTTTTTTTTTTTTTTTTTTTTTGTCCTGTCCCGTTTGGCTCTTTTGCCATCAGAATTGTTGTCTAAAGGCAAAGAAAGATGCCCAACGGATTTACTTTACCAAACTGACCATCCCAGCCTTGCCGTAATGGTCCATTTGATTCACCTTTTATTGTTTATTTTATTTTCACTTACTGAATACGGGACAGACTTGACTGGGGGAAAGAAGGGGAGAAAGAAAGAGGGAAAGAGAAACAGCTGAGAAGAGGGACGGGGGAGAAGGGCAAAAGACAAAATCCAACAGAACGGGCAGAGAAAAAAAAATGCATATATCAATCACCTGGATCACCTGCTGAGAAAGAAAAAAGAAAGCAAGCAGAAGAGAACAAGAGTAATAGAATAAACAACATCACAATGATATATGGGAATATGACAGTAAATACTAAATGTTAAACATTATTGTGCAGCACATAAGATCAACAGAACACAGTGTGCTTTGAGGTAGGAGCCAAAAAGGGTGTAGTTTGTGGGTGTGATCACCCGTGTGTACACCTGTGAGCATGGACGCGCTTGTTTTTTGTTTTTTAAAAGGTTCCTTCATGTAATAATCTGCTAGAGGGTGTGGGGGGGCCACAGCCCCGTCCTCCAGGGCGTGAAGCAGGTGTGGAGGAGATCAAAACTCCAGACATCCAGAGGCCCCAGAACACAAGAGACCAAGGAAGACCAACAGAGGGGCAGCCGCGCCACTGTCCCGGAAAGAGCTGAGGAGAGTCCCAGATGAGGGCTCACTCAGCAGCCGCGGAGCAGAAGCCAGGGGGAGTTGCAGTGACGCGCCCGTGAGCTCCGCCGGCAGCCAGCTGCGCCTGAGTGACCGAGCCCCAGGCCGAGAGGCCGGGGGCACCCCACCTCCGAAGTGGCCCGAGCGAGCCCCAGGCTCCAGGCCCCGATAAGCGGCCGCCAAGGAGTGAGCCGGTGTGTACCTGGACGCCCATCCCCGGACACAAAGAACCACCAACGCACCGATGTCTGAGGGGGTCCGCCACTGGCAGGGGAAGTGGTGGTAGGGGGAGATAGGCCTCCAAACCTTGGAGGGCCTGAGATGTCCCCAGAGAGGTGGCGCCTGACACCCAACCTGACATATAGACACAGACATACAGGCACACACAGATACAAACATCCATTCCCACCCTCATGCTCTCATATGCACTTACTCCACACTCAACCAACGTGGAGACAGACATAAAGAGACGTTGTACACACGATCACACTCCCCAAGCGTACTCTACAAACCGGGTCTAGGTGCCCCCGCCCCTGGAGGGGGAACTGCACCCAGACCCAGGTGGTGTTTCCCTTTTCCCTGCGGTGGGGGGAAGCAGACCGCCCCGACTCCGCAGCAGCAGGAAGGCTCCACACTCCAGACCGCAGTCGGACGGCCAACTCCTCCTCCTAGTCCTAGCCCCCCTGCTCCAGCAGGTCGCAGAGAACGGGGATGAGAGAAGACTCCGAACCTCCCTCCACCCGCTCATTGTAATGTTGATGCATGTGTGTTCTAAGGTGCATTTAAAACCCAGGAGGGCTTGGAGCTACCTGCCAGAGAGCAGCAGGTAAGCGCATGGTCCCTCCTGCTAGCCCTCAATGTCTACGTGTATTTAAAATTGAGAGGTGGGCAATGATGCCAGGGGTGGGGTGTACACCCTGATGGTACTTTGGACTCCGTGTATCGTGCCCACCCCCAAGATCCTATATGTATGTGTAATGAGAGTGTGAGTAATGTGAATGTCTAAGTTGTGGGATAAAATTGAGGCAGAGGCAGCCAGAAGGGGACAGAGGGGGGGGTAGCCTCCTCTGCACCCTGGTGACATACCCCTACTCCAAGGCCCTGCATGTGTGGGTGGTTGTGGTGGAGCGGGAAGAGGGAGGTAGCTGGAGATGGGGAGGGTAGGAAGGGAGGGGCAAGTGACCCCTCCCTGGGGCCAGCTCCCCCGCTGACCCCAGTAGGCACCCCCATACTCCGCGACCCGCCAGGGAAAGGGGGCCCAGGCCCATCCAGACCGGGCCCAGTGCAGCAGCGCCGCCCGGCCCCACAGAGCCCGGGACAGTCCACCCAACCCCACCACAGAGAAAACTGCACCCACCCCACCATCCACTCATCTTCCAGACTACATAAGACAATAAACACCCAGGCTGAGATCTTCCTCCACCTCTCCTGTATCTCCCCCTCCTGCAGAGGCAGCTCCTGAGGAGAGGAAAGCTCCTGCAAGATGTGACAATCTCCCCCACCAGTTGAAGAGCCCCCAGGTGGCTCGACGCACCGGCGGCACCCTGCTCCAGGGCTGGGCCCCCATGCACCCACCCGCCCACAACCCCGGCAACACACCAACCAGGACCCAAGCCCCCGAGGCCCGGTCCGGGTCCCAGCCCAGAGACGGAGCGCCCCCAGAACCTCACGCCCATCCCGGACCCACCCAGGGGCAGCCAGGCTACCAGGTCAGTAACCCACGTCCGTCAGCACAGACCCTCCCCTAGCCCCGCTGCACGCAGCCACGAGGAAACAGTCACCGGAGAGCCAACAGAGCCCCTAACCGGACATGACCGCTACCCCGGGTTGAGCCCCCCAAGGAAGATGCCTCCGGGGAACCCCCCGACACCCTAAGCCTGTCCCTACCCCCACACCAATCACAACAGTGAAGGCGGGACCAAACTATGACCCCCCACCCCCACTAGGTGATGGAGCTGATCAAAGGAGCCCAGAGCAATTGATCTGATGTGGTGGCAGAGGCTGTATCAAGACTAATGTAATGTAATAGATAATTTCTATATTGGTTAGAATTAAGATTATTTTTATTTTTCCAGTTCATGAGGACTGTTTTCTTGGCTATGCATAGGGCAGTGAAAACCATATGGGCGATATTCTTTTCTGAAGTGACATTATCTAAGCTGCCCAACAAACACACTAAGGGGGAGGTTGGAATGTTACATTTCAGACACTTCGATAAGTCTTCACATATCTCGCGCCAAAACTTCTGAACTGGTGGACAGAACCAAAGAGCGTGGATATAATTGTCCGGTGAATTGGTTTGGCAGTGTGAGCAGTTGTTGGTAGACGTAAAGCCCATCTTGAACATCCGATGACCTGTATAGTGCACTCTATGTAATATTTTGTATTGAATTAATTGAAGACTGGGATTTCTAATTAGATGAAAGGTTTTTAAGCAAATCTGAGACCAGAAGTTTAGGTCTAAGTTAACTGATAAATCCGCTTCCCATTTTGCAATAGGAAGTGATATTGATTCATCTGTTTTAGAAAGCATTCTGTATATTTTGGATAGTAATTTGGGGGGTTTAAGAGTAAGAAATTGAACCACACTTGGTGGTGTTTGTAGTTCTACTTGACCCGGTTTAAATTTCTTTTTTACTATGGATTTAATTTGTTGATATTCTAAAATCTTTTCTTGTTGATCCCATATTGTGTAACTAGTCCGTCAAATGAAATAAATTCTGTTCCTTCTAGTATATGTTCTAAATATTTGATTCCTTTACCACTCCAATCTGAAAAGTTTATCATATTATTGTTTTGTAATATGTCAGGGTTGTTCCAGATAGGTGTACGTTTGCATGGGATTAATGAAGACGCCGTCAATTTTAGAAACTCCCACCATGCTGTCAGAGAAGAGCTGATGTTGATGCTTTTAAAGCATTCATGTCGTTGGATGTTTGAGCTGATAAATGGTAGGTCTGAGATCTCTAGATTATTGCAGAGTGCTTGTTCTACATCTAGCCAAGGTTCATCTAAGAGGGTGTGTTTTAGCCATCCTGAGATAAACTGAAGCCTGTTGGCTAAGAAGTAGTGCTGAAAGTTAGGCAGTTCTAGTCCTCCTTTATCCTTGGTCTTTTGTAGTGTTTTTAAGCTTATACGTGGGGGTTTATTTTTCCAAAGGAATTTGGACATACATGAATCTAGAGATCTGAACCAATCTTGTGGCGGTTTAGTTGGGATCATTGAGAATAAATAATTTATTTTTGGTAAGACCATCATTTTTATAGCGGCAACCCTTCCCATGAGTGATATGGGTAGACATTTCCATCTAGCCAGATCATCTTCTACCTTCTTTAAAAGTGGGATATGGTTTAATTTAGTTAGATCTGCAAGCTTGGGAGAAACATTAATACCTAAATATTTTATATTTCCCGATTGCAGTGGTGTAGAAGAGGAATTATGGAAGGAGCAATTAATCGGTAGGACTGTAGATTTTGACCAGTTAATTGAGTAATCTGATATTCTTGCAAAAGAGTTTATCAATTCAATCACCCCAGAGATATTGGTTTGTGAATTTTGGAGAAAGAGTAACACATCATCCGCATAAAGGCTGATTTTATGTTCCACGTTCTTGCATTTTATGCCCTTAATTACTGAATTCTGTCTAATTGCTGCTGCTAGTGGTTCAATAAAAATTGCAAATAGTGAAGGGGAGAGTGGGCATCCCTGCCTTCATCTTTAAGTAGTGATATATTAAATCTCCAGTTTTTTCTTGGCGTAGTATTATTCTTGTGCATTAGTGTTAAAGATACAGGACCATGATCGCTGACAGCTATAGGGTGAATCTCAGTGTCTGAAATGTCGTTCAGCAGTGAGCTGCTGACCAAAAAATAATCCAGACGAGAGTAGGAGTGATGGACATGTGAGAAAAAAGTATATTCCTTACTGGTGGGGTGAAGGGAGCGCCATGCATCGCAAAGACCAAAGTCGCTCATATACTGTTTGATTATATTTGTGGACTGCCAATTACGCTGAGTTCCCGCTGTATTGAGCCTATCCATGTCTTCATTTAGTCCAAGGTTGAGGTCACCTCCAAGAACAAGTGTGCCATCTAAGTGTTCAGAGAGTGCACTGAAAAAACCGTGAAAGAATGAGGGATCATCAACATTTGGACCATATACACTTGCGATACATAGCTTTTTATCACGTATAGATAGTTTAATGATTAAGAATCTGCCCTCTGGATCTATAACTGTATCGAGTACTGTGAAATTAATATTTTTATGTATTAAAATTGCTGCTCCCCTTTGTCTAGAATTATAACAAGCTGAGAACACATTGGGAAACTCAGGTGTTTTAAGTTCATTCGAACCTCTAAGAGGTCTGTGGGTCTCTTGTAATAGGACAACATCTGCCTGTAGTTTTTTGAGTTGGTTAAATATTTTTAACCTCTTTTCTCTGGAGCCAGCTCCATTTATATTCCATGTAATGAACCTCAGTGTACCCATAGATGTTTGTGTATAACTAGGGATGTATGCTGTGTGCGTCGCTTAGACAGGTGGAGAGAATACGTCACTTGTTCATAAATAAAGAGAAGGAGAGAGAGAAAAAATGTGTGGCGAGATGCTCCCTGAGTCTGACTTTGTGTATGCATAGTTACTAATATGAGTAGGCTTGGCTTAAGTGTGTGTGTATCTTATATGACTGTGTGCGCTGTCTGACTGATGTAAATGTGCTGCCGTTGAGCGCATGGTGCGTATGTGTCGAAATAAAGGATGTTTGTGGATGAGTGTCGAAGCAGGTGATCGAGGCAGTGAAAGGAATAAAGAAAGAAACCAAGGACAGGGGTGAGCAGCATAAAACCAAGAGGGGGAAAAGAGAGGAGGAAAAAAAAAACGAGAAGAAAAAAAACAAAACAAAACGTAAACATTCCAATTAAATCACTGACGGAGAGTGACGGTGTTAATTCTGCTATGAAATCACACTTTAAGATGCGATTTGATACTGGTAAGTTAAACAGATGTTAATGCAAGTTAGTGTGAGTGGATAGGGAAATGGTGTAGCTGATTCTTATCTGGTGTGAGGTTAATACAGCCACGGAGTGATGTTGGGGTCGCGGTGGAGCTGTCCGTCCACGTACAGCCGGTCCACAGCGATGACAGCGCGGGAGCCCTTCTGGATGAAGCCGCGTCGGATTGGGAAGAGGACCCTGCGTCGTTCCAAGATCTCTTTGGGGAACTGGTCGTTCACGCTGAAGTCCGTTCCTTTTAATTCCCTGCCGCGGCTTTTCACATGTTGCTTTTGTTTGAAGTGGCCGAATTTGGCCACGATAGGACATGGTCTCCCGGCCGTAGCCCGAATGGGGCCGAGGCGATGTACCCGATCGAAGACAATGTTCTTCACAGTGTCCTCCGGCAGCTTCAGGTGGGTTTTGATGAAGCTTTTTACCGTGGTCTCCGCGTCCTCTCCAGCGGCTTCTGGAATACCAGAAAATACCAGATTATCACGCATGCTACGAGCTTGTAGATCGATAACTGTTTCTTTTATTTTTTTATTTTCTCTATTGAGCTGGGTAACATTATCTGTGAGACATTTCACCGACTCCCTTAGCGTGGCATTTTCAGCAGCAAGCGTTTCCACCTGCTGCTGGCTGTACTCCAGGGATTCTCGCAATGTTTTTAGATGTTAAAGAATTCAACAGAACTTGTGGTAAAATACCAAATATAGAACTGAACCACATAGTGCCATTTTCTGTATGAAGCTGCTGGCTCTGTGGACATGAGGACGATCAGTTTGAGATATTCTCAGATATCTATTGTTTGCAGCACTGAACTGGTGTCCCTGACTTGACTGAAGACAGGCGGGATAGAGTTTTATCCTTAATGGGGACGATGTTCAGGAAACTGGAAGTGTCAGCAGGTGTTCTAAGGAGCTCGGAAAGAAAAGCATCTGGACGTCTTTCAGTTTCTTGAAGACGTTTCATCCGAGAAGTTTCTTCAGTTCTAAGAGCAACTGGTGGAGCGTCCCAGATTTTAAGCCCTATGGGAGTGTCCCCAAGAGGGTCGTGGACCCCCTATTGATCCTCTGCCTAATCACATGAGCAGTACTAGAAAAGTTACCATTCCTGGTGCAACTCTGTAAGCCTTAGTCTTCTGCAAGAACAACACATTTCACAGCTGTCTGTGGCTGTTTTATCATGTCATCAATACTTGCATGCAATGTGGCAGCTGTTGGAGAGATGTGATATAAAACTCTACAGAAAGATCCACAGTAAACACTGGAGTGGACCTTGAATCTGATGCTGAAGAAGATGAGAAGAAAGACAGGGCACTGAAGTGTTCACACTGTGTACACTTCTCTGTCTCGCTCACCTTCCTGTGAACTCATCAAAATCATGCAGAGCAACAAAAACTGCAACCTGGGGCAGTCCTTATTAAGGGTTACTTACTGTGGACTACATCTCAGAGTGTTCATATTTAATATCACTGATGCTGGGATTCTTATATTTACATAACACAATAATATCAGCTGGACAGGAAATGTTTGAAAGGCTGCCTGAATCATTAAGAAGGGTCTGATGTGATCAGCACCTGGATGTGAGCTGATTGTCAGCAAAGTTTCCTTCACTTTGTCTGGAGTCAGTCTTGGCTGTTGGATCATAGAGAGTGATGGATTCAGGATTTGCTGATTGGGCATTTTGTGACAGAGAAAAGTTGTTTCATTTATTATGTATCATGTATTTATTTTATTACAAAACTTTACAAGTAAAGATAATCTCATTTTTATGTCCTTTCTCAGAGGAAAACACTGTGGACAAACATCTGTCTGCACAGATGCAGAAAGTAAGTAGAACCAAATGATTCTGTCCTCACACCACAGCTTCACTTAATTCATTACTTATACCTGTTATTAAAAATGATCACGTGTGATGGTTTTGTTTACTTATTAATCAGTTATCCTCTAAGAAGGTTATTATTAAATCACTTTGTTTGTTCTCAGGCATTAACAGTCCACTCAGACAGAGAGAAGCTTTTGGAAATGTTGGAAGATCTGAAAAAGGAGGAGCTTGAAAAGTTCAAGTGGTTCCTGCGGGACCGTGATGTTTTGGTGGAGCTCCAACCCATCCCAGAGAGCAAACTGGAGAAGGCCAGCACCTGTGACCTGGTGGACCTGGTGGTGCAGACCTACACAGAAAAGTCTGTGGAGGTGACCAAGAAGGTTTTTAGGAAAATTAACAGAAATGATCTGGTGCAGAAGTTATCAGACAGCAGCTCATGATGCAAAGGTAACAATCAAAATGGCATCATTGATTTTATGAATATTTTACTTAATCCAAAATACTTTTGTATAGTTAGATTTGTAGCTTCTGAATTTATTTTCAGTGCACTACATGATTGTAGTATGGAAAGTAGCAGAGAGTCTGACTGACTGTCCAACTGACTCTGACATGAGGGAGAGTTTATAATGTAGGAGCAGATTTGAGGTTAAAATACAGGAAATAACATCTATTTGAAAATTACTGTGTGTGTGTGTGTGTGTGTGTGTGTGTGTGTGTGTGTTCGTGTTCTTAGGTTGATGCAAACATGAGGATGAGATCAAGATTTTCGAAGCATTTTTTTATTTTAATATTTAATCTTTTCATTGTATTTTAACTTTCTCTTTTTAATTTTCTCTTATCATGTTTTTATTTTCTGCAGAATTATTTCAGGTTTAAACGTGTAGAAATGATCTGACAGTGATTTCATTTCCTTCTTTCATAGAAACACATTCTGTTTGTTTCTAGCAGCAGTTTGTAAAAAGACGGCATTTGTTGTGCTTTTCTTTGTTTTCATTTATACACTTTCAAATTTACGATAATGAGATCATCATGTTTACAGATACTCACTGTGAGACAAACACTCAGGTTTATGTGGTTTTTTTTAACTTCTGTAATGTGTGATGTCATTGAGGGGCGATATCCTAATATTGGTGTTCTCCAGTTCTGGCCCTTTCCACAGAAGCTCCACCCACTTGTCCCTCAAACCTTCTGCTTGTGGGAAACAGCCAATAAGAACAAAGTTGCCTTAAAGGGAGAGGAGTAAAAAAGAAGCTTGTTTCAGAGAGGATGAGGAGCTACAACCAAACCAAGTATAAGACAAATGAGGATGATTTTGAACTGTGACTCAGACAAAGCTACTCGAGTACAGTCCAAAATTAAAAATATTAACCTGAAAATGAGCATTATATGTATAATTACATACAAAAATATCATGAACAGCTTTATGATTCTCATTTTGTTGAAGACGATAAATCCATGTCACAGTATAAATGTGCCACATAAAGAAAAGTCTTCCAGAATAATTTTACATTAACACCATATGAACTCTGTTATCTTCTGTCTTTTGTTCTTGTGGTCGATGCTCAGTCTGGTTTGGAGTGAAGCCTGAATGAGAAAAGTTTCCAAGGTTAGAAGTTACTGAGGAACATCATGACCTGCATCTGTTACTGCCATGTTTCTCACATTTTAAGAAGTTTTGACGACTGCTTTGAAGATAAACTGGAGAATTTTATACTTTTTAATCTTTAATATCCTGCTTTAATCATTGTTTTGTGTTTTTTAATTCCCTTTTAAGCACGTCACTAAACATTTTATATTGGCTTTCTACTAAATATAGCCACATAAATACAATTGTTCTTTATCAATTAAATATTTTTTCGGATACATCAGGGAGCAACATTGGTGTCTATTAACTATTTGCTGTCAGAAACTCGTTCAATTTTTAACATTTTAAAATCTGTAAAAACACGTCTTTCATGTTTATACGGTGAAACTTTTGCTGGAATGAAGCGGCCTAAAAACAATGAAACAATGTACAATGAAGATCACTCAGTAAGATGATTGCTGTGCTTTTGTATTTTAAGAGATGAGATGTTCAGGTCAGTCTTTATTTTCCTACAGGATCATTTTGATTTGCAGCATCAGTCAGTCAAACTGAAATATCACAAAATGAGAAAGATCAACACATAAATAACAGTAAGAATGAGGAATAGTTAAATGAATGACTAAAAGTACATTAAAATGATGGAAGCAGTCAATAAGAAACGTTACAAACATCAGAAATGTCAGACCGGGATCGGACGGCTTTATTTACACAGAACTGGATGTTTCCTGACTCTGAGGACTTTATTCGTCTAAGGAAGAAACTCAGACTGTTCCTAAATGTGTCCTTATATTTTGACTTGTACGTACAAATTTTTATATGGTGTAATTGCTATTAAAGACTCCTTTTTACCCTTGTTTTCTGGTTCGTTGGTTCATTTAAACTCCAGCCTTTCTGGAGCGTTCAGTTCTACAAAGGCTGATCAGCGTCGACTCCATCAACTCCATTTTAATCCAGCAGCACGAAGAACAAGTGTCAGTGAGGTTTATCTTAATCATTTAACCCAGTTTACATTTTCCACCCATCCATTATCCTTATTAGCCTATCCCAGCTACCACAGGGCGAGAGGCGGGGTACACCCTGGACGGCAGTCTACTACAGAGAGACAGACAACCATTCACACCTATGGGCAGGTTAGAATCACCAGTTAACTAAACCACACTAACTGCATGTCTTTGGACTGTGGTTTTATAGTTTACCTTTAAAAGGCAAAATGAATTATTCAGCTGTAACTTCATAGGAACAAAATGCAGGTGGAAATAACTGACGATATGAAAATGTAACCTGTGATGTGTGATGTTGGACATCTTTCATTCAAAGGTTGCTCAAAATCATTTAAAGACTATATTTAAACATGTGACGCTAATTTCAACATGAAGGAGCAAACATCCATGTAGTTGTGTAGATACGTGTCAGGATCTGCTGTGTCACCATCGCTGGCCCTGCACCTCCTGCATAAGAAGTGACAGGCTGCTTCAGTCCTGCAGGTACAAAATGACTTTTTCATTTTCCAGGTGGTAACTATGACGACTGAGAAGCTGCTCACTTGGATGAATTCAAGTCACTGATTGAATAGCAGAAAGATTCACTCCTCATCTCAAGTAGCAAACTGAAAGCAGCAAACACTCAGGATGTAGTGAATGTGATGATGGAGAAGTACAGCCGAGAGTGTGTGGAGGTGACCAGAAAGGCTTTAATGAAGATGAGCAGAATCTGGTGCAGAGATTATCAGGTATCACCTCAGGAACCAAATAAAGTCAAAAACAAATAAATATGTAAAAAACGGACACATGGAGAGGATGGAGAGCAGACAATACATGCCTGCAGGTCCTCTGATGGACGTCACAGTCACTGCTGGGAAGTTAAATGAAGTTCACCTGCCACACTGGATCTGCATCGGTAAGAGGACATGAAGGCATTATTATTTAACAATAAATTACATTTACGATTCAAGTTTTCTTGTGCAGATGACGTCCCTGACATATTGGACAAGTTTGCAGTCCTTCACATAGATGACTGTGGAGATGTTGTGGAAAAAGTGTCTGATTTTCTCTCCAAGAGCGCTCCTGATGAAAGTGGGCGTTCCTGTGAAAATCAACTGTAACGTGTTGATATATCAGACCAACACAGCTTTCCTCACACTGCATGTTTATCTGATCCCACGTGATCCTGGGCTACAGCAGGTTATTACATGTTTCACAGTATAAGAAGGACAATGTGCAACAAATAAATCAGCAGACAGTAAGATTATAATATTGGATCCCTGTAGCATCTTTACACACACACATATAAACATATATATTCTCTCGCTCTGTAGACGATGGAGAGAAGAATCCTGTGGATACAAAGTCATCCGAAAGCCGCATCCAGAAAAGTCCTTGAAAATGTTTCATTGTTTCACCCTAAGAGCAGATTTGGATGGTGCAGAAATCTGTCCTCAGGTATGTTGAATTTATTTACTGCTCATTTGATCCCAAAACAATTTATAAAGCTTTGAAATAAGTCAGATATAAAATAAACACCTGTTCATGGTGAAGTATGTAACTGATGTATTCTCACCATGAAGTAAACTCTCCTGCTGTCTGACCATTAGCTCCAACATGTGTTGACACTGAGCAGTGAGTTGTTGTCTTTGCACCAAACTGCACAGCTGTGCACGGCTGATTTCCTCCAACAGAGTGATGATGGTGGTGTTGTCCTCTAACTTCATGAAGATATTCTCTCCATGTCTGTGAGTGCAGTCATGGCTGTTCAACATGAACAGGAGGGTGCTGAGTGCATGACCCTGGGGGCTCCAGTGTGGCCCTAGAGGGGAGGAGCTGTGATTACCAGTCTGAACAGCAGCCTGTTTGACAGGAAGTCCAGTATCCAGTTGCACAATGTGTTCCTGAAGACCAGAGTGACGAGTCTGCCAGTCAGCTTCACAAACAGCCTGCTGAGAGAGAGTTTGTTATATTTCACATGTATGAAGAGAGAGTGCAGGGCAGTGAAGACGACATCATCTGTGGCTGTATTCAGCTAGACGACAGTTATTATTAAAGCTAACGCCTACTGGTAGATCTGTCACGATTCTGGGTCCATTGGACCCAGTATTTTGAGTTTATTATGTTTTGGTGTAATTTTGCATCATGGATTGTTTTCTTGTTCTCTTTTGGTTGTGGTGATTATTATTATTATTATTAGAGTTTCATGTTTCTGTTATCCATATTTTAGGAATTGTGGGTCCATGTATAGTTCAGTTCCATTTTCTGTCTCTCTGTGTTGAGTCCGTGTCTCTGAGTTGTGATTCATGTTTCCTGTTTTATTGTGAAAGTCTGTCTTATGTTAGGGTGTGCAGCTTTGTTCCCCATGTCTCGTTAGCCCTGATCTCTCCCAGCTGTGTCTCCCTACTGTTGCCAATTCCCCCGTTACTACCCTGTGTATATAAGCCCTGTGTTTTCCCATGCTCGGTGTCGTGTCGTACCCTCAGATTATGCCTGTGTGTTCCTGGTCTCCGGTTTCAGTGGTCACTTCATGTTTGTTTTTCATGTCAGCAATAAAGCTGAGGTTTTGAGTTTCACGTTTGTGTCTGAGTCCTGCGTTTGGATCCTCCTCTCCGCCTGCCCGCACACAGAGCCCTGACAAGATCAGCCCAGTAAATACGGTGTTTCTGTATTTTTACTGGTTCATTTTTCACTTTCAGATGAATCACAAAGAAGTGGTAAAGTACAAGGTAAGATGTTTCACATGATTTGTGTATAAAAAGAACTGCACTTTGTATTTGGCTGTGGTGGGTTCCCTTTGGTATGACAACATTAGTGCTGAATATTGGCATCCAATAATCAGACGGTGTCAGAGGGGAAGAAAGAAACAGACTCAGGCAGAGGCAGACATCTGTTTGACTGGTTTGAGGGTGAAGAGGGGAAAAAAGCAGAAAGATACCGAGTTAGATTTGATTATGTACAAAGTAAAAAGAAGCACAACAATGAATCAGTCTTTAATGTTTAACACATATCAGTGAGTTCTGTTTGGAAATAAGTAACAGAGGATGTAAGCTATGCATGGATTTAGTCTTTGATTATCAACATATGTGATGAATCTCTGCAATCTTTCCTCAGAAAACCACTTTGTGGATAAACACAGAGTGGAGCTGATCCAGAGAGTGAGCAACATCGAGCCGATTCTGGATGAGCTCCTGAAAGGAAAAAGTTATCCAGCAGGAAAGTTATGACAGAATCAGAGCTCTGCAGACCTCTCAGGAAAAGATGAGGGAACTCTACAGCGGTCCCCTGAAAGCTGGCAGTGCCTCCAAAGATGTCTTCTACCAAATCCTTCAGACACACGAGAGACTCCTTCTTAATGACCTCTGCTGAAAGGACGTTTGCTGAAATCCATTTTGTTCTACAGTGAAAGTATTTACAAAAAGGAAATGCTGCCATTATGTTTCTGTGTTTCTGATGTAAACATAAGAAATATCAGACTCTTTGTTTTATGCTTTAATATGATGGTGGGCGGATTTATAACACTGGTTATAATTTGGACCTGGTGACATCATACAGGCTACGAATGTTTACTCTGTTGTTAATAATTACAGGTGCTGGTTGCTGCACATCAGGGGGCCAAAACTCAAGGCACACTTTAGGTCGTGGGCCAAACAAGAAAAACATTTATTGAACACACTAAAACATGTTTTTAAACATAAATATGAATAAAAACAGACAGGAATATTATTCCAGAATAAATGCACTTAAAAAAATAAACTTTAACTTTTTATTTTATTTATTTTATATTTTGCTCTCCATAAAAATATATCCTGTCAAAATTATGCAAATTAGAAATATGAACATGCTGCCAAAAAACCCAGAAAAAATAAATGAAAGCAAACAAGGTTGGAGCCGCATGTAGACGAGCAAAGTGCGCCAGCTTTGTTCAACATTACTCGGCAACAGGGAAAGTGAGGCAGGTTGCACTGGTGCATCTGTGACAGCTTCACTTGGAATGCCTCCACCGCATCATACATGCCATGAACTGACAGGTTTCCTTGCTGAGCTCAAAAACTCTGAGAACTTTTATCCCAACTCAGCCAGCGGACCTCTGTATGATGAGGAATGTTAACAAACTCTGAATCTATTTCCCACATAAAAGACTGAAATTGACGCTGATTTAAACCTTTAGCTCAGATCAAATTTACGGTCTGTGTTACGGTGATCATTACATGCTCCATTTTTAGGACTTTACCACACAGCCTTTCCTGGTGTGTGATGCAGTGATGTGCTGTTAACTCACCGGTACAGTTCTCCTGCATCTTTACTAGATCCTACATCCTGCACAACACCAGCGCGCCATCTGTTGTCCCAGGGCAGTTTCATGTCGGTTACACTTTGAAATACCTTTTCAAAAATGTCTTTTCCTGTCATTGTCCCGTGCATTGATTTAATGTTCAATATTTACACTCTACGGATGAAGATGGTCAGCTGTGCAATGTCCATCATGTCTGTACTTTCATCCACAGCAAGAGAGTATGCAATGAAGTTTTTGCTTCTTTCACACAACTGTGTTCTTAAATCAGTGGCCATCTCGCCATCCCGATCAGCAATCGTATTTCTGCTCAGGCTCACATTTGCCAAGATCTGCGTTTTGTCTGGACACAAGACGTTGCACAGCTTCATCATGCAGCTCTTCAGAAACTCTCCCTCGGTAAATGGCCGGGCTGATTTGGCTCCTCTGCTACAATAGAACTTGCTTTCACAACAGCTTCAGTTTGTGGCTTTGCTCTGGTGACAAACGTCTGCTGAATTGGTAAATGGCCTGTATTTGTATAGCGCTTTACTAGTCCCTGAGGACCCCATATCGCCGGGGCATGCATAACAATAATAATAAATCTATATAAAATGATCTTGCGGGCCATAAAATTTTATTCCACAACTTAGACATCCACATTACTCACACATACATACAGGGCTGTGGGGGTGGACACACTATACAGCGCCCAGCCTCACCTCTGGCGCCACCTCTGAATTTTAAATGCATGTAAACATTGAGGGTTCTCAAGAGGGGCCGTGCTGACACTGCTGCTCTCTGGCAGGAAGCCATGCCCTGCCATGTTTAAAAAGCACTTTAGAACAGGACACAGCAACACTACACATGAGCGGGTGGAGGGAGGTTTGTGGTCTTCGTACACCTCTGGTGGGCCTGGGGCTCGGTCCACTCTGGCACACCTGGCTGCTGGCAGAGTCCGCGGGCATGTCACTGCAGCCCCCTCTGGCTTCTGCTCTGTGGCTGCTGGGTGACCCCTCGTCTGGGGCTCTTCTCAGCTCTTCCCAGGAGGTAGGCACTGATGCTCCTCCGATGGTCCTTCTTGGGCTCTCGCACTCTGGGGCCTCTGGTTGTCTGGGGCCTGGATCTCCTCCATGCCTGCTTCATGCCCTGGGGGACGGGGCTATGGCTCCCTACACCCTCTAGCAGCTTGTATTCAACCTTTTGAATACAAGCGTGCTGATCCACACAGGTGTACACACAGGTGTACAAACTGGTGTTCACACACACTAACTTTTCTTAGCTGCTACCTCAAAGCACATTGTGCACAGTCGGTCTTTCGTGCTGCAAAATAACATTCATTATTTAGTATCTACTGTTATTTACACTTAGCTAGATTAATGCAATGATGCTGTGTTTATTATGTTGCTCTCCCCTCTTTTCTTTCCTTCGCTCTTTCTTTCTTTCTTTCTTTCTTTCTCTCTCCCTTTCCTATCCCCCAGTCATGTCTGCAACTACTGAAAATAAAATAAATAAATAATAATAACAAAGGTAAATCAAATGGACCAATATGGCAAGGCCGTGATGATGCACTTGGTAAAGTAAATCTGTTGGGCATCTTTCTTGGCCTTCAGACAAAATATTCTGATGGCTAAAGAAGCAAACAGGACAGGCAAAAAAGGGGGAAAAACAGTGATTTACATTTGAATTTAAAAACTGTACAGTAAACAGACAAAGAAAATTAAATAACAATAAAATAAATGAATGAAAAAATGACAAATGAATCAGTAAATATTAAAACATGAATAAAATAGACAACAAATAAAATTAACAAAGTAAAGAAGATTAAAAGCGAACTAAAACAGACTACAAGCTGACTCTGGTACTACTACTGCTTGGAAAAAAGGTGCGTTTTTAAAGTGATTTTAACATTTCAAGTGTTGGGGCCAGCCTGATATGGGGGGGCAACTTATTCCATAATTTGTGGGCCTACAACAGCAAAAGCTCTGTGAGGACCAGTGTTGGTCAAGTTACTTGAAAAAAGTAATCAGTAACTAATTACTGATTACTTCCCCAAAAAAGTAATCCCGTTACTTTACTGATTACAGGAAGTCTGACACAATAAAAGAGGAAGTGCTAAGGTACTCTTCAAAATAAAAGTGCAAAGTAAAGTGGCTTTGCCGGCATTTACACATCATACAAAATGTAATCAAATGGAAACGTCTCTTTTTAAAACTTGTTTTATTAGTTTTAACCTTTTAACTTTATGCATCAAGCAAACATTTAATTATATGCAACTTTCTCTGACTGGAAGAAATTTGTTTAACATTTAAACCTATTTTCTGCACATTCCAGCACATACAATAAAATAGGTTTTTGTGTTTACACTCAGTCTTTCAAATAGATGCAAGTAAAACACAGCAGAAAATAAATAAAGTCACAGACTCAGCGGTCCTTTTGCTCTATTTTCACCTGTAAAGCAGGAGTGGGGTAGGCGGAGGTTTACCCTGGTGCAGGTGTGCCACAGCGGTCAGTTGAAGAATCCGCGAGTTTCTCTGTGAGTTTCCCATTACGTGGTAGCTACTTGGTGCTTGCTCAGAGGTTTAGGGATTTGTTTCGCTGTAAAAAGAAGTTTTCTTCCCACGCACAGCGGACACTAATGTTTTTGTCACTTTTTATGGAATCAAACTCAAAGTAAGGTCAGTGCTTCCACGCTTTAAACGCTGCACGCTCATACTCTCTCCCGCACTCCATATATGATCCATTGTTGAACTGCACACAGCTGTTGTCTCAAACGTCGCACTCGCTTACGTCACAGTCATGAGACAGTCTCGCAAAAAAATCACGGTTTTAGTAACGCAGTAACGCAGCGTGCTTACGGGAAAGTAACGGTAATCTAATTACCGTTTTTGCAATAGTAATCCCTTACCTTCCTCGTTACCTGAAAAAAGTAATCGGATTACAGTAACGCGTTACTGCCCATCTCTGGTGAGGACCCAAGTCAGATGGTGGGACACCAGGGCCACTCGGCCCAAATATAATGACCTCAATCTTGTTTTCATTAAAATTAAAAACATTCAGAGCCAGCCATGCTCTGATATCCTTAAGACATCCTAAAATATGCCTGAGGGGGAGGAAGTGCAGACTCTGTGCTGTGAAGTGCTTTAAAACCTGGTGAAATACCTCAAAAATGTTTTGTCTGTTTAAAAAAGCCTGTAGCTGTGAAGACACTACTTTTTTTTCTTCCAAATTTTAGAAACAAAGGGAAGCTTTAAAATAGATCTGAAATGACACAAAAATGAGAGGCTGGACCACTGCCTTTTTAAAAGTTACAGGTCGCCTAAAGTCAGGCTGCTGTTTATAAGCCCTTGAATATAAGGTCCAATGGTCTCCCAAACTTATTTAACAAAGTGAGGGGGGAGGACATCACTGGGAGAGCCAGACTTGATTTGGTAATAATTTTCCCCAGATAGGACAGAGACACGGGTTCAAAATGTCTAAAAACTACCAAAGGCGTAATAGAAGGGTCATAAGAAGGGGGTGAGATATGTACTCTAATAGTTAAAATCTTATCAACAAAGAAATTTTAAAAAGCTTCACAAGTTTCAACAAAAGCTTCTGTACAGTTGGATTGGGGAGGGCTATGAACAGAGTTTAAAATACTAAATAAGACACGGGGCTTATGGTAGTTGTTGTTAATAACACCTGCAAAATAAACAGATTTCTGATATTTACTCCAGCTATCTTTTAGATATCATAAGACACGTGTAGCTTGTCTTTTTTCCATTTACATTCTGCTGTTCTGCACTGTCGTCGAGCAGCCCGAGTGCTGTCATTCAGCCATGACTGCTGACCTTCAGGGGAGCAACAGTATCCAGAATGTTTTGGCAAGTGGAGATAAATTCATTAAAAACATAATAGATAAAACACATTATAATAAAGTACAACACACTCTTATGGGAGTATGCTTATGTTGTGATGTCCCTGCCTCCACATAGTTATGTAACTGACAGGCACATTCATATATATTATGGCTTATATGTATAATCGATTTTTTTTGGTATGTTTTTGACCTGGGGGTAGAATTACTTATGAATGGGTGAAATAAAAACACAACACATAAGGTTCTTCTGTCTGGTTCTTAATTAGGAAAAGGCAGAGCTTCCTCTCTCATTATGTCTCACACTTGTTCTCTCACCAAAACACAGCACAAATCCCGCCAATGACCCGCTTCCTTATAAACCCTCAATCAGGTACCGAAGCAGTGACGTACTGAAAGAAGCTTCGGACGTCGCTGGCCACGTGACTCTGGCCAGTTTTTGTTTTGATTGACAGGTGTCGTGGCAAGGTAGGTATCCTCGCCAGAATTTGTTTCCCTGTGTCGGGAGCGCGCACTGGGCAGGGAGCGCGGATCCAGTTGACTCCGCCTCCATTTAAACCAACGTGTGGTTACGTTACCGTTCAGTGCTTGGACAACAGAACATGACACACGTGGTATCGGACGATTTACCGAATTAGAGATAATCACGTGTGTGTGGACTGGATTCACAGAAAATTTAACGCTCTGTATGCCACGATTCAAAGCACGTTTGTCCTTGAGCTGGACAGAGCGAACATGGTCAGTGTAACCCGTTTCTGCTCGTTTATGTATCTGTAATACATCCCTACAGTATGTGCTGAACAACACAACTCACCTCTCGTGTAGCTTCAGCAGACTGGCAGCGATTACAGCAGCCAGCCTCACCTAACTGGCCAGACTGGAGAGAGAGAGGTGGAATGATACATATAAACACTATTTTATACAGTCACTGATGCAAACTTATTCTGTTGGGTCGAATACTTGCTGAGAATGCAGATTTTGACCTGTTGATTAGGACGTTTTTGTTAATGGGAAAATTTTTTATTCACAAATGCAGATACTTTAAAGCTAAACCTTGTATAAACAGATGGCTGAATGACTTTAAACTCGGGGTTAAATCACTGAAACTTGTGAATACTAAGAAAGCCCATAAACTTGTTGTTTTATTTAAAGAGTTTAATCTATGTTAAAAAAAAAACAAAGAAACAAAAAAAACCTCCCTTTTTTATAATCATGACTGCCCTTTTTTGCTCATGTTATTTTTTGCCTTTGGTTCAAATCCTTCAATGACTTTTCTTTCTTTTTGTACTAACTCTTTTAGCTTTGTGCTTATTGTTTTTTTTTGTTGTTCGTTTTGTTTGTTTGTTTGTTTGTTTGTTTGTTTCTTGCTATAATGCTCAACCGAGGATGTAACATAATCGGATTAATGACGGTGCCTTGTATGTTATACTGTTGTTTGTAAATAAAGTTTAAAAAACCAACTTGTTGGGTGTGACTACGTATTCTTCTTCCTTTAGTATTTCCGCCCCTGTCGAACCTCCAGGAGACTGCAGGTCTTCCTGATCGTTGACAGTTTAGTGAATAACAGAAACACACAGTATTAAAGATTTATACCGTCTGTGGTAAATTACAGCTTAAAAGTGTTCAGTCAGACATAAGTAGCTCTAGTGAGCATGTGAATGTGATGCTTACTTTGGATTATGGAACTTTTTTATTATTAACGGATTCAGTATTTATTAAACTCGGTGTATCCGTTGTTGCTTTGGAGATGCAGAGACTGATTAAAGAGACACGACGTCACTCTTTCTACTCATACCTGAGCCAAAGGTAACGTTGATGGAAAGGCGGTAACATCTATTTCAACTCGGTTTATTTCTATGGCGCAAAATTAGAACAACAGTCGCATCAAGGCGCCTCCGTTATTCAGGCGGGCTGACAGCTGGGAGGAGAGAGACGCAGAAACGCGGAAGTTTTTCCGCCTCAGCGTTTACAGAAAGTGAGAGAAAGCAGCGGGAGAACAGTGCCTCACACTAAGCTGATTCACAAACACTGAAGAATGATTTTCCATCAGCAGTGATTCCTGGTGTTCACATTTTACATGAAGTATTGAAGGTAAGCGCGGCATTAAGTTCTGCTTCCTCCTGGAAGTTCACGTTCGTAGTTCTGCTTCCTTGTTGGAGTTGTTTTCATGTGTGTGTAACAGGGAATGAGATACAATAATAAGTTATATTAGATCATGTGACTGTTGCTGGTTTGAAGCAGAGGTGCAGAGCTCTGTGGGAAAGAACCGGAGGTCTCGGTCACGGTAGAGTTCTGGTTGTGGCGGTTTGAAAAGGCCACGATAGTCACGTGATCTTAACCCTAGAACACTATCGCTATAAACAGCAACACAATCACTAATGCCGGGTGATTTTTACCCGATATAATATGACCAACAAAAAGTACTTGTCATCAAAATATATCAAAATTTTACAACACATGACAAATTAGAGTTGTCTTCTTTTACTTTCAACTGTGCCATGTCTAACAAAATGAAAAAAGTGTCATGTGGGGACCCTAAAATAATGCTCCAAAATCACAGAAAAATTAGGGCAAAGAACAACAAAATTCCTAAAAAAGATAATGACACTGGAAAGCTGGTCTTTGGTCCACCCATTCCTGGGACATTTGAGACTTCCCTGGTGAAGGCACAGTCTCCTCGACACACTAACAGCTGCAGGAGAGAGAAATCATGTAAATGCTGAAAATCAAATAGCGATAGTATTCTAGGGTTAAAGTTATCTGTGCGCAGCTTAATCTCTCATCTTCATCAGACACCAGATCTTCCTCACACACTCTGCTTCCTGGATGGTGAATGTCAGAGTCACAGATATAATGACACAATAATTATTATAAATGTTATTTAAAGGTTTGTGGTTTTTTTTACAATAAACAAATAACAGTTTGTTTATTGTGTGTTTCTGACCAGTTCGAATTGAGATTTTTAATTTGTAAAGTTTGTACAAACCAGGGATGGGTAATTAATTTTACCGGGGAAAATGAGACTGTTGTGCATTGTACTGGTTCTCCAAAAGCTGATTCTGTTCATCTGATCGTAGCGTTTTGTGGGAGAAACGTTTCGTCACTCATCCGAGTGACTTCTTCAGTCTCAGCTGACTGCAGGTTTCCCCAAATCTTATAAACAGTACATTTGCATAATGACTGAAACCAGCCCAGTGAAGGAACAATAGGCTGGGAGGTCAGTTCCTTAATCATAATTATGCAAATTCTCATGACCATTGATCAACAACCACTGACCAAAACCCACTGATCAAAGACTACTCAGGGCCTTCTTGATGTGCTGTTCTTCTGCCTCCCTGGCTGCTGTGTCAGTGGGGATGGTGTTCGCTCTGTGTTGTAGCGTCCTGATGACGCCCAGTTTGTGCTCCAGTGGATGACGAGAGTCAAACCTTAGATACTGATCCGTATGTGTAGGTTTATGGTACACGTCATCTTTTAGATGTCCCCCATTACTGATGGAAATCTCACAGTCTAAGAAGGCTAACCTGCCACTTTTCATATCCTCCCTGGTGAATTTGATGTGTCGGTCCACCGAGTTAATGTGATCCGTGAAATGTAGTACGTCCTGGGATTTCATTTTCACCCAGGTGTCATCCACATATCTGAACCAATGGCTTGGTGGTGTTCCAGGGTAGGATAGCAAAGCCCTCTTTTCCACTTCTTCCATGTACAAACTGGCCACGATGGGTGAAACTGGGGAGCCCATGGCACACCCATGTTTCTGCCTGTAGAACTGACCCTTGTGTGTGAAGTAGGTGGAATGAAGACACAATTCCAAAAGCAAACACACTTGGTCGGTGCTGAGAGTGGTCCTGTTGCTGAGGTTGGGGTCATCCTGTAATCCCTTACGGACTACCTCCAACGCTTCCGTGACTGGGATGCAAGTGAAGAGAGATGTAACGTCATACTCCATCATGACATCTCTCACCTTCTCAACAAAATCCAGGGTGTTCTGGATGTGGTGTTCAGAGCTGCCCACCAGTGGGTTGAGGATCGAAGCCAGAAACTTGGAGATGTTATAGGTGACAGAGTTGATCATGCAGACAATACTTCTTAAAGGTGCACCCTGTTTATGTATTTTTGGTAAACCATACAGACTTGGTGTAGACTCCCCTGGGTACAGCCTGTGGTATGAGGTCCGGTCAACAGCCTTGTCTTGTTCTAACTGCTTCAGACAGTCTATCGCCCTCTTGCTGTAGCCACTTCCTGGGTCTCGTTTCAGGGGCTCATAAGTATTTTCATCACTGAGTAGTGACAAGATCTTCTCATGATAGTCTTTCTGGTTTAGCAATACTGTGCACCTACCCTTGTCTGCTGGAAGGAGGATAATGTTGTTGTCATCACTAAGTGATGTGAGTGCCTTCCTCTCCTCCATGGTGATGTTGGATGCTGGGGGCTTTGCATTGCTGAGACAGGCCGAAACTTTCGTCCGTAGTTGCTCTGCTTCCACTTCTGCAATATTGTTGTTACGAATTGCTGTTTCTGTGGCTGTGATCAGCTCCACTAGCTTGGAGATTTACTTTCCTGGATGATTGAGAATGCATCAAGACATTGTACTGGTTCATTTATTACTTCCCAGTGTAACTTTTTCTGCAGCTATTTAGAAACAACTCAACGTCCTTTTGGGGACAAAAACGAATCCTCTCAATTTTATTCAAGGTTCAAGCTGATGTTTGACGTTCACGTCCAATCACAGTTTTCATTTGGGTGATGGAAAAGTAACAAACGTCCACGTCAGTAATGTTGTCATTAGTGAAATACAAAGCAGTCCGTTTCCATCCATCAAATGAACAAACAGCAGACATGCTGTCCTTCATGTATAATATGATTTATTCATTTTCCAGGTGGTAACTATGACGACTAAGAAGCTGCTCATTGAAACACTGAACCAGTTGAGTCCAGAGGACTTTGCTGAGTTCAAGTCACTCACTGAACTGGAGAAAGATCTATCATCCAAGTGGAGCTGATGGAGGAGACGTACAGAGGAGAGAGTGTGGAGGAGACCAGAAAGGCTTTAATGAAGATGAACAGGACTGATCTGGTGCAGAGATTATCAGGTATCACCTCAGGAACCACAAATAAGAGAACAAAGACTTAAATATGTGAGAATACTGCACATAGTTTATCACATTCATATGAAACCAGGTGCTGACTGATAGAAAAATCTCTTGACTCTGTGTTGTGTAGTGAATGATGAACAAAGACGTGTATATTTTCGTGCTGCTTTTTATAACGTGGATTAGAGCAGAATATGTGCAGGTCAGGCAGGCTGGCTCATTACAGGAGGCTCAAACACAGCACACTACAAAATAATAGCAGCTTATAGCCGGTGTGCAGTGATATTATGTGACTGTTTCAGGACTTCACAATTACAACAAACCACTGAAACTCTTCTTATTAACAGTTAGACAGTTACAGAGGTCACATGCTCTGTATAGTGGTCGCACACGTGCTGATACCTAATGATCCCACACAGTGCAGTGATCCACTGCCTCTGAGAGAGGGCGCCATTGAGCCAATAAACATCACAAATCCATTGTGGTTATTATGGAATCACACACACCATAAACACTGTTACACAAGCTCAGTTACAGTATTTTGATCCGATCAGAACAAAAACATCCAACATCATTCAACATGGTTGGAAAGTCTTCAAGCAGCTCTACAGGTTATAATTATGTCACTATTAACCCTCATCATACTGACTGTGGTAGATTTTTGTCATACCTCACAGATGTGTTTTTTTCTATCATTTAAATTTTTAATGAATTTGTCAGTTTGTTGCTAATGTTTCACACAATTTTCTATTTCTGCTTTGATTGGTGCTTCTTTAAAAATACAAATGTTTGTAGGTGTCAGAGGACTCCAGTCAAACAATTCCACCTTTACAGTTTTAATAAATGGGACTTATTAACTGTATTGTGAATTTATTCAGTTGCAGCTGGTCCTAAATTAAAGTAACACACAGTATCTAGTATCTGTCAGTGTTTATAAAGAAGAAAGACTCAGATGCCATCACTGCCTTCATCGTCTGGATGGGGAACTTTCCAGAAGTTATGAGAATGTTGGAGACGTAGCTGCATCTACTGTACCTGAGAGAGCTGGAGTTCTCTGGTCACGCAACCCATATCAAGGAAGCATGTAACAGACACGCATGTGCAGCACGCTTTGGAGAGACAAAGCGCTTCATGGAGTCATGACCTCCAGCTCTCACTGGGGCAGTTTGAATCTGAATGTGCAACAAGTGGGTGAAAGTAGCACCTCCAAGTTTTAGGCCATGGTTCTCAGCTGGTAAAGGGTGGAGTGCTCACTCCAGGTCACGGATGAGTTCCCCCATTTGGAGGAGTTTAAGTATCTAAGGGTGTCATTCACAGGGGAGGGGAGAGTGGAGCAGGAGACTGACAGATAGATTAGTGCTGTGTTTGCAGTGGTGTGGATGCTCTGCTGATCTGCCCTGGTGAGGAGAGAGCGGGCCCTGATGTTTTAGATTTGTAGGTGGAGCTATGTTCCTGCCCATGCATATGGTCACAAGCTCTGAGGACTGAAAGAATGAGATTATGGATACAAACAGAAATGAGTTTCCTTTAAGTCTATCTGGGAATGTCCAAGTTATGTCCAAGTTACGGTTGGTTAGCATGGGAGAGGCAGCCTGGGACCCTCATTGGACAGAAACGCCCGGTCTGGAGTCGACTCCCGTCACGTTCAAAGACATGTAGTGTATATTTATATATGTGTGTGTGTGTGTGTGTGTATATACACACATGAAAGTGATCAGCGATCAGAGTATCCTGTGTGTGCTCTCATTCACAAAGTTAGGCCTCTCTCTAAAATCATTATTAACGAGTTAACGAGGTTTAAGTGTCACTTTGATGTGAAATCTTTCATGTTCTAAATCCTCATAAAGCCTGATGATAAAACAGTTTCTAATCTGACTTTTTCTCTTTCTTTTCTCCTCAGACAAACAGTTTCCTCCACTGAGCCAGAGAGTGAGTAACGTCACATCAGTCGACTTCACACAGTTCAGCTTTGATTCAGTAGATGAAGACTGAAAATGATCTTCATCTTAAACACAAATCATACACATGAGATTCAAGCTGCAGCTTTGTCATGTACACATGAGTTTTATACATGATTGGTATAGAAATATTAAACCTTATTTACATTTTAAAAGCAGATTAAATTCAAGTCTTTCTGTTTATCAGTAAAGATGTGAGCAGTTAAAGCTCCCCTCTGTTTGTAAAATCAGGAGACTCACTGCAGTTTTTGTAGCTCAGTCTTTGACAGAGTTACAGTCAGGCAGTAAAACAGAGTCACAAACCTGTTCATGAAAATTAAATCCTTCAAAAAGAGGAAAAAATGAGCCAAGAAATAAAAAACCAATCCAAGCAGGTACCCACCGAGCACCAGATGTTCATGGAGGTTATTTTCTGCTCTACATCTGGTCGACCGGTCATGACCTTAAAAAGACGCAGCTTTATGTCTGAAGGTCAAAGGTCATCTTTTCAGGTTTTTAGAAGGAATTGGATTCAAACATGAATTTATTTTTAGCACACTAAAATGTTTCTGTTGATTAACAATCAAACAGACATTTGAATGGTGCATCGCTGTCATGTGACCTCTGTTTTTACCAGGTGGAAACGATGGAGTCTCTTATTGAGCTGCTTTTGGAGACACTGGCTGATCTGAGAGGCAGCGAGGTCAGAGACTTCATCCAGATCCTGGGAATAAAACGTGGCTCAATGAGCCCCATGAGTCTGTCTGAGATGTCAGGTCCTGCCGGACATGGTTATATGCCGGACGTGCAGGACGTGCAGGACGTGGTGTTTTGGATGGTGAGGACTTTTGGCCAACAGTCAGTGGAGAAGATCGTGGAGGTTTTAAAGGAGATGAAGAGGACTGATCTGGCTCAGAGGCTGAGAGACAGCAGCTCAGAAGCTCAAAGTAAGATAAAGACAAAACATGTTAAAATCATAAAAGTGTTTCTGCTTCAGTTCATATTAGAAACAGTCAGATTTACAGAGCAAAGAGAGCATTGTTGACGAGCAGAAAATGATGTTCAGCAGGTTTAAATGTAACTTTTTTTTTTTGTTGATCTCTGTGTATTTTTTTAAAGCTCGATTAGCTTTTATTAAACACTTATTTCTATTTCTGTTAATTTCTCTTTTTTAAGACAAACATCTGGATGAACATCTGTCTGCACTGATCCATAAAGTGAGTAACGTCTCATCTGTCTGACTCTGCAGAGTTCAGCTTTGATTCAATAAGATGCAGTTTGAAAATCATAATTTCATCATTTAGATTAAACAGTTGTCACAGAAATGTTTTTAGATTAAAAATCAAACATTATTAAAAAGTGTGTTTACATAAATACATCTTAATAAATAAGATAATAAAAGAAAACAAAGTGTTTCAGAGAAAACATTGAAAACATTCAAAGTTTAAAACAGCTACAAAAACATAAATCTGTAATTTTCTCAGTGAGGAAACATTTTTTCTTTATGAATGTTTGAATTTTCCAGGTTGCAACAATGGCAGCTGTTACAGATGTGCTTCTAGAAACACTGGAGGATTTGAGTGATCAGGATCTCAGCAAATTCAAGTTGTTCCTGCAGTTCACTTGTTTTCAGAAGAGTCTTCCACAAATCGAACTTAGAACTAACAGAAGAAGAATAGTGAATGAGATGATTGATAAACTTGGTCATCAGTCTGTGGAGGTGATCAGGGAGGTTTTAACAGACATGCAGAGAACTGATCTGGTGCAGAGGCTGTCAGAGAGCAGCTCAGGACTCAAAGGTAAGAGGAAATAATCTGTCAGAGTGTCTGTAATAACTTTAATACATTTTATTTATTCATTAAAGTTTATTTAACCAGGAAAAAATAAAATTGTGACATTAAAAATCTGTTTTACAAGAGTGTCCTGGCCAAGAAGGACAGCTGTACAATAATCATAAGCTGCATAAATTAATACAACAGATATGTTGGGATTATTCTTAACTGTGTGTGGAAGGATTTTAAATATAATATTACACCTTACAGTAAAAATTAATTTAAAGAATTAAATCAGAGAAACTCACAACAAGAACTGCATAATATAAACTTTATTATCATTTATAAATGAAAGAATTAGTTTCCTCTGATTTATTTTGGACAGACGTTGATAAATGAACACATTCAGGTTGTACAAACACAGTAAAATTAAACAGATTTGTTTTCATATTTCAATGTTTAAAGTAAAAATATTCAGCTTATTGAATCAGTGACTTTCTTTAGTAAATGTTGTTTTAAAGCTCTTTGAACTTCTTTCCTTTGAAAATATTTTTCTTTGTTTTTTGCATTTTGAGCTCATTAATATCAGTCTTGTGTTGTAAATGGATCTTTATGTTAGCTTTGATTGAAACTCCACTATGGAGACAGACGACCTGTATGAGGTAAATGATTCAAAGTCTTTTCAGTGATTTCTCTGTGATTGTGTAACTATGGCCTCCTCCTGCCTTCAGTCAGCACAGCTGAAAGTGAAATATTAAAGCTTTTTATTGTCAGGACTCAGTGTTATACTCAGGATGAGCACACATAAAGGACACACACAGTGTCTGTGTCATGTAGTTACAGTTTGTATTCAATGTGTTGCAGCTGCAGGATCATCAGCTGAAGGATTTGATGTGGAGGAAACAGAGAAAGGTCAGTGTCCAGAAAACACATGAATCAATAAATACACTCATTGATATGAAGATGAAGAAGATGAAGAAGAAGAATTACTGAATGAAACAGAACTGGATCATTTCCTCACACGTTGATAGTTTCCCATCAAATATGACTTCATGTTAACAAGTTTAATGTTGTTATTAATCCAACTTACAAGGATCATCAGAATGAAATCAAAGCATCAGTTATTTCAAAGTGTCTGATTATTAACACTGATGTTAAATCAGTCATGAATGAAGCTTTTAATCTTTCTTTTCTGTCAGAGAAACACTCTGAGGATGAACGTTGGCCTGCACTGATCCACAAAGTGAGTCATGTCACATCTGTCTGACTTCAGATCATCCAGCTTTCATTTCATAAACACAGGATAGAAATCTTCAATAGAAACAAATGATTTGATTTTGATTGGAAAAGTCAAAGTTTGATAAGTTGAGCGTGTGCAGTGAGGGAGGTCTGCAGCAGGTCAGAAAAGTCCTGAACTTGTTAACAGAAGCAGAATAATTGTTAATCAGCTGTTTGTGATCATTGTGACAAATATGACCAATGACATCATCACCTTATGTGATGGATGATGTCATCTAAACACATCTACATTTGTAAAGTGTTGATGAGAAAACAAACAAACCTGAAAGTGAGAAATGTCACATTTATCTCATGAACATTTTCTTTGAATTTTCCAGGTAGAAACGATGGAGTCTGTTATTGAGCTGCTGCTGGAAGCTCTGGATGGTCTCAATGAGCCGGAGCTCAGAGAGTTCAATAAGAACCTGCAAGAAATTCATCTTCACAAATATGACTCAGTCTTTTCATTGATGCGGTACATGAGGACAGACCTGCAGGACACAGTGTTTCTGATGGTGCTGACTTATGGCCAACAGTCAGTGGAGAAGACCATGGAGGTCTTAAAGAAGATGAAGAGGACTGATCTGGCTCAGAGGCTGTCAGACTGCAGCTCACTGCCTCGAAGTAAGACAACAAAATCAAAACTCATTAAAGTCATAAAACTGTTTTCATGTCTCATAAACGTCTGACTAAAGTCTTCTTTGACTTTATAAATAATATTTGTAATAAAGACAAAAAAACACATCTTTAAAACATATTTTATGGCTGTTCTGGAAAAATCTACTTCAATAAATACATAAAAATGAGACCAGATTAAATCCAAATACTTTGTGAGGAGGAGCAAAAATGACTCCTTCATACTGTTTATTATTGCTGAGGAGGTTTCAGTGTAATTCTGCATATTGTCCATTTTTCCAAAGTCATATTTCCTGAATAATTGTCAGTTAGTTGTTAAATGTGTTTGTCATGAGTGACTTTGAGCACTTTTCTCCTCAGAGAAACACTCTGTGGATGAACGACGCTCTGCACTGATCCACAAAGTGAGTCATGTCACATCTCTGATTCAGTACAAGACAGCAGGCTGAAAGTCAGAGGACTAAAGTATCATCAGTTCTCATGTTGAGTCATTTTCTCATGATTTCTGCTGGATGTTTGTGACAAACTGAAGCTTCATTCAGTTTGACTTCTTCAGCAGTAATTTTCTGCAACACTAATGTCAGGATGTCTTTACCACTGAGGATGAGCTGAGGAAGTGTCAGCATGTACATTTGTCCTGACTCTTCAACAGGACAGAGAAATCTGAAAACATCAAACACTTTCAGATTAAACAGGAAACTTTATTCTACTTACAAATATTAATAAAGAATGAAAGATGATGTGAAATCAGGGAAAGATTCTTGATGGATATATTTCAGTTTTTATCTGCACAGTGAGAGAAGAACTGCAGCCTGTAAAGAAAAAGTATTCAAACCCATAAAAGTGGATCACAGTTTTAGATTTTCTTCATTTTTTTCATAAATGTACTGCAACTAGTAAATAGATGCTTGTGTTTGGCTAAATAAATATGTGACCCCGTGATTGTGTTTATTGTTCCAGGCGGCAACAATGGCAGCTGTTAAACATCTGCTTTTAGAAACTTTGAATGATTTGAGTGATGAGGAGCTCAAGACATTTAAGAGGATCCTGCAGACGATCCTTCCTTGGAGGAATCGGTCATTCTTCTCACGGAGGTTGAGTCTCTCATCAACCAGAGCAGATGTAGTGAATCTGATGATGGATGAACTTGGTCATCAGTCTGTGGAGGTGACCAGAGAAGTTTTCATGCACATGAACAGAACTGATCTGGTGCAGAAGTTACCAGAGAGCAGCTCAGCATCCAGAGGTAAGACCAACATGCATGAGTGTAAACTCTGTGTCATCAACAGGTTTTTGTGTTGGTGGTGTCATGGTGGTGCAGTGGTTAGCACTGTGTCCTCACAGCATGAAGGTTGTGTGTTTGAGCCTCCTGGTTGGCTGGAACCTTTCTGTGTGGAGTTTGCATGTTCTCCCTGTGCCTGCATGCTTTTCCTCAGAGTGCTCTGGTTTCCAGTCCAAACACATGCTTGTTGGCTTTATTGCTGGTTCTAAATTAAATGTGGGTGTGAAAGGTTGTCTGTCTGTTTAAAACCTGAGGTGGACAGGTGTACCCTCTCTCATTATCACAGCTGGGAACCCCCAGTTACTTTGGTTGGACAGGATGGAGGGTTTCTTTGTTGGGTTCTTGTGTCATTTTATTTAGTTTCACATGATTTTCTCTTTTAAATCATCTGTGTCGTCTGAAGGCTGATTCTACTTGGATGTGTGATGATGTTTGAATCCTCAGAGTTGATGGTAAATGTCTTTCCTCCTCAGAGAAACACTCTGTGGATGAACATGGAGCTGCACTGTGGAAGAGAGTGAGTGTGACTTTAACTCAGCTTTTACAAAAAATAGTTTTTAGTATTGATAGAAATGAAATAATGTTTTCTTATGAAACTTGAAGTTTTGCAGTTCATAAAGAGAGTGAAGTAAATATCAAAACCGCCAGCTGTCTCTTCAGTGATTATTCTAAAACATATAAATATTAATGAAGACATCTTTTTTAATTAATATTTGATATTTCTATTTCAGTTTCTCTGGAAATTAAATAAAAATAAATCTTTAAATTGTCCAACAGAGATATTATACAGTAACTTAATACATTGTTTTGGTTTTACAGGTAAAAGAACAGGAAGCTGTCAGACAGATTCTCTTGGAAACACTGAATGAATTCAGTCAAAAGGATCTAAAGAAATTCAAGCAGTTGCTGCCGTTCACGTGCTTTAAGATGAGCCTGCCACAAATGGTGAGGTACTGGTATACAAACAGGACAGAAGACCTTGTGAATCTGATGGTGGATAAACTTGGTCATCAGTCTGTGGAGGCGACCATGGAGGTTTCAACAGACATGAACAGACCTGATCTGATGCTGAGGCTGTCAGCGAGCAGCTCAGGTGAGACCAAACAAAGTTTAATAAACAGATTTTCATAATTTACAATAAACTTGTTTAAACAACTTCTAATCAACAAACATTAAAAAAACAGGAAACACAACAGACGTCCAAACATAACTTTGCATAAATGATCAGAGCTGAATCCAACCTTTCTCTCTGTCTCTGTCTTGTTCTGACATCACTGGTGAGAATATTTGGATTCATCAGCTTTTGATCATCTTAGACGTCACTCAGCTGCACGTCCTGCTGAACATGTTGTTCTGATGTTGAAGCAGCACTGCACAGCATAAAGTGATCAAACAGCAAACATGTGGACAGTTAGAGGATGATTTTATATGTCAGCATAACATCATTCATTTGAATTCTTTGTGTCTCAACAAGGACGAAAAACTGAAAGAAGTTCAGAGCTTGAAGGTTGTCAGAGCCTGACGGTAATCCCTTCCATTCATCCATTTATTGCTAAAGTTTCTTTCTTTATAAACATGTGTACTTATTGACTAAAGAGACTGTCCTCTGCAGCAGGACTGCAGTGATTGGACTAATCTTGAACCTGAGGTGAACAGTACAGATGCAGACGAGGCTCCAACTTACAGGTAAATCAACTTCCTGAATGCTGCAGCACAGCAAACTGGAACTACAGGAAACAGTTCAGCTTTGGATTTATTCCCAGAGGAAATTCTTCATTTTGCATCCGATTCACACGACTACTCTCTGTGTTTCCATTCACTCTGTTGTTCCTTCATGAGTGTGTATTTAATTCCTGTTTCAGCCTTCAGTCTGCAGCAGGACACTTTGAATGCAGAGTCTCGGGCTTGCGCTGGGTCTGTAAGGGAAAGACCAGCTTTCAGTACCAGTTTAGATCTTGGGAGGGACACATGGAGAGGATGGAGAGCAGACAATACATGCCTGCAGGTCCTCTGATGGACGTCACAGTCACTGCTGGGAAGTTAAATGAAGTTCACCTGCCACACTGGATCTGCATCGGTAAGAGGACATGAAGGAAGACTTTCAGATGTTTGACATTTCTGACAGTGAGCGCACAAACTGTTATAAACTGTTCTTCTCACCATGTTTGTGTTGTTGTGTTCTCCTGCAGATGACATCCCTGACATATTGGACACGTTTGCAGTCCTTCACATAGATGACTGTGGAAATGTTGTGGAAAAAGTGTCTGAGGTCACACCAACACATGTCAAGTTAACTGAACCGATTTTCTCTCCGAGAGCGGTCCTGATGAAACTCGGCATTCCTGTGAAAATCGGCTGCAACGTGTTGATCTATCAGACCAACACAGCTTTCCTCACACTGCATGTTTATCTGATCCCACGTGATCCTGGGCTACAGCAGGTTATTACATGTTTCACAGTATAATAGGCAGAATTCAGAAGAATGAATAAATTAATATATAAAACATGGCTTTTTAGTATCTTTGCACTTTATTCTTCACAGGTAATAAAGCAGAGGGAAGTGCCCCATGGATACAAAGCTATCCTGAAGCCAGATCCAGAGAAGTCCTTGAAAATTCTTGATCGTTTCACACTAACAGCAGATGTGGATGGTGCAGAAATCTGTCCTGAAGTATGGTTTGAAATGCTTTCATTTCTTTCCAAATACATATTTGCATAATAGGCTGAGAATAAATAGTCCAGCTGTCGTCGCAGCCTTCATGCATTTTACTGAGCAAAGAAAGGATTCAGTAAATATTCAATAAGAAGAGCTGATCTGGAAGAAGTGAACATGATTTACTGAGATAGAAAAATGAACTAATCTATTTGGTGATTTAACGCTGATGAACCTTGATTGCAGTGTTAGGATTTAGGACAGGACCCCCCAAAACAGTAAGAGCAATCTTACTGTGGCAGGGAAGTTTGACTCTATAGAATGAAAACAGTATTGTTAGCTCAAGCATGACCAAAGCACAGAAAATGAGTGTAATATATTATAATAAATAGGATATACTAAGTGATCGTAGCAAAAGAAGGTTGGAAGGTAGGGAGGAAAGCAAGCACAATAGAGACCGAGCCTACATCAGAGGCTGGAGTCCTGGATGGTGAATGGAGAGCAGACAGAAGAGATTGAAGTCTGATGAAGCTCAGAGAGTGAAACTCTTGTTAGCAGGAGCAGAAACATGACAAAAGATACAAAAGGCTTTGATACACCACCAGCTATATGCTGACTTACCAGGACTTTAACATTTGAGTGACTTTGAACCAGGAAAAGAAAAACATGAATGATGAGAGAAAACATGGATACAGGATGATGCTGGAACTGGATCAGATGCATGAACCATAGGCCGGTGCAGACCAGCAGTCCATTTGTGGACGAGAGAAGGTGGAAAGCTTTGAGAACCTGCTGAAGCTGCAGCTTTTGAAATATCACTGTGGAGTAGTAAAGGCAGAAATAGTAACTTACAAATATCCATACCATACCTCTCTCTTTCCCGTTGCTCTTTCTTTCTTTAACAGGATTTAAAGCTCAGATATCCAAGTGGAAAGCCAAATTTCTTTGAAGTTTACACTGAAAATCCAGATGGAAACTTCCGCCTTAAACTCACATCAAAAAAAGATCTTCAGCCAGTATGGACCTGTACAGTTCGAAAAGGTTAACTTTACATTTTCAAATTTATCATCACTTTATTGTATTAAATGAGTACAATTACATGTTAGCTCAACATTGTCAGTAAGCTATATGTAGCAGCAATCTTCGGTCCTTCTTTGCCGCTTCTGCAGGACGTACATTTTCTGACTCGTCCTTTTCTAAGATAGTTTGTGTCTTATTCTGTAGGAAGAAACAAGGCGAATGTAAAACAGGAAACATGTTATTTATTCCACGCAAAACCCAAAACTACAGAACAGATATCTCTGGTTGGAGCCCCGTTGACATTTTCCTGATATTATACCTCAAACAGCTATAAACAGTGACGGTCAGAAAAGTGTTGCCATGACAGAAAGATGCACGATATCTTCTATAAAATCCTTTGGAAAATGAGAAACATCTAATGATGAATTCAGTGCAAAGTAATCATACAATGGTGAAAAACCTCTTTAGACCAAATAATCTACCTGAGCATAGATTCTGTTGGAAATGTCAGTGTGCAAGGATTTTATAAAACGTTATTTTACACTTATATTTGGTGAGATGTTTATGGTATGTGGGCCTTTCCTGATCACCGAGCCTCTCATTCAGTTTCAAACTAGAAATGTCCCAAAATGTTCATGTAATGTGCTGTATATCATGCAGAACAATCACTGAAAATACCAGATTTCCTCCACTAACAATATCAAATGATCACAACTATACTTTTTGTGAAGATTTATTATTTGTTACATTTGATATGAATTAAGTTTAAATTGAAAACCTTTCATCACCACACGGTGGCCCAATGCACACCGTTTTTTACACCTACCAACCACACAATAGAACAAGCGGGATGAATTTATAGAGCGTAATATATTAAATTACAACATAAAATATTGAAGATTAAAATGAGAAACAACACAAATTAAAGATCATAACAAAATACTTAAATATGGCCGATGGATTGGAGTAAAGTTTCTTTAAAATTTTATATTTATACGTTTTATGTTCCTTGATTATTTTCAGCCGAATACCAAAGCACTGATCAAGCACAAGGTAAGATATTTCAAATTATTTGTATAATAACTGCATTTAACATTTTACAGTAGTGAGTTTTCTTTGGTTTAAATTTCACAAGTTTACCAAAATTTACCAAAATTTGTTGTTAATCCAGAGACGTTGCTCATCCATGCCATAGCCCAATTGACTCCACTGTTAATTGTTGGTCGTATTTCATACTGCTGCAACTTGTGCCTGAGGAGGAGAGGACTTCATTTAGAATTCTGAGAATTTAAATCAGGGGTGCACACACTTTTTCAGCATGCGAGCGACTTATGAAATGACCAAGTCAAAATGATTGACCTACTATGAAAATGCAAAACATATATTTATTTATAAACATATGGAGTATTCATTCATGCATGTTGCATAACTGTATGAACCCATATTACACAACACAACTGTATATTTTTTGATATTACCTTATTCTGCTGACTTGCACTGAATGGAATCAACCAGGGATGCACAGTCTGGACGGTAGCTGCTGATAGTCAGCCTCAAGTACACTTTCAAATAATCATCAGTCATGGTGGAACGGTATTTGGACTTAATAATCTTCTGGGAAAAGGCTGACTCACATGAATAAGTGCAGCTGCAGTCAAGGAGGTAACACATTTCCTAATGTTGGGGTACTTTTCCTCTGCAAGTTCCAGAACTGTCCGTTAGCCCTGGACTTAAACTCAGCTTAGTGTCAAAATCTCATCCTCTATTTCAGAAAAATTCTGGTGAAACAGTGTATAATTCACCTGTTTTTCTTCATTGGTTCATTCGAAGACTTCTCTCCTAAGCCACTGTGAAAACTACACAGCATTAACAAAATAAACACTCAACGTAAGACACAGCACCTAAAATGACACTGTACAAGAAAACAAAGATAAAATCAATAAATACCTTGTTGGCTGCATGCTGCAAAAAGGGAATTACTCCCCATTCTTCTGAGGGTTCCTTATAAGTGTCTAGTTAAAGTCCATTCCACTTAACTTTCAATAAAGAGCATTACGGCTCATTCTTGCTACCTGCTTGCAGGTGTTTTCTTAGGCTTCCAAAAAGGAGACAACAAGACTTGTAAGCAGGCTTGACCTTAAAAATAAAAGCACCATAACTTGAACTACATAAAATAACATAAATAATGTACAGCTTAAACAATTTACATCGATGACATGGACCTTGACAAGCTAAAGAAATGATCTAAATTATATAAACAATATCATCATGCCAACAGCTACACAGTGTTTCAAATTTTGATGCGAGTGGATCAACCTCTGCATCTTCCCAAAAAGGGTAGCATGTGAATGTATCGACTGCATCCATTATCTCTTTCATGTGGAGCAATTTTGCGCATAACGCTTGTTGGTGTATTATGCAGCGGTAATTGAGGAAATCCGGAATAACATTGTCCTCCCTGCACCTTGCAGTGAATCCATTTGAGTGGCAAACCATCCGTGGTGATGGACACCAATTTGTATACTGGGAGCCTGGTTTTCCCAATAAATTTATTGAAAGACTGAAGAATGTTTCAGTTTGCTGGCATAATGAAAGTTAAAAAGTTTGAACATTTGTTAAGAAACTAAAAACTTTCCTTGTTATTTATTAACAGCTGCAGGATCCTCAGTGGGAGCAGCTGCTGTCAGCTCTCAGTCGGCTGGTAGGTTCATCAATATTACCTGTTCTGTGGTTTTATATAATGTGACACATAGAACGCTGATGAATCCTAGTGAACAGTCAATCACACCTTTTTCCCGCCACAATTTTACTTTTCGTTAGCTTACATACTTTGTTCTGTCTTCAAGTTTTCATTCTAAAGGAGGAGCTCTCAGTCTCTCAGCTCTCGGTGGCAGCGAGTCACTAAACTCAATCCTGCTTATATTTATTTCTTTACAGAGATAAATATAATATTCATGTATTCAGCCCTCTGTGAATCACTTCCTTATCATGCTGGAGGGGTTTGTGAGTCCCAGGCTTTTTCCTGAACAGCTGATTTCCGCCAACAGAGTGATGATGGTTGTGTTGTCTTCTAACTTCATGAAGATTAACAATCTGAACAGCAGCCTGTTTGACAGGAAGTCCAGTATCCAGTTGCACGATGTGTTCCTGAAGACCAGAGTGACGAGTCTGCCAGTCAGCTTCACAAACAGCCTGCTGAGAGAGAGTTTGTTATATTTCAGATGTATGAAGAGAGAGTGCAGGGCAGTGAAGACGACATCATCTGTGGCTGTATTCAGCTAGACGACAGTTATTATTAAAGCTAACGCCTACTGGTAGATCAGCCCAGTAAATACTGTGTTTCTGTGTTTTCACTGATTCATCTGTTTCACTTTCAGATGAATCCCAAAGAAGTGGTAAAGTACAAGCTAAGATGTTTCACATGATTTGTGTATAAAAAGAACTGCACTTTGTGTTTGGCTGTGGTGGGTTCCCTTTGGTTGCTGACCTCATATTTGAAGTACTGCAAAATGCCAGGGAATGAATGAATAAGCTCTTATTCAACAATGGCACCAACCAGCTTTTCCAAATCTACTGATGCTGTTGACTGGACTGTCAAAATGCATAAATCGAGTCAGTTCTACTTTTACCACCAGATTTTTAGCACCAGTTAACGAATGTTTTTAGATGTTTTTTTTTTTTTCTTTTTTTTTTTTTTTTTTTTTAAGTTAACATGTTCTTTATTTCTTTTTTTTTTTTTTTTTTTTTTTTTTTTTGTCCTGTCCCGTTTGGCTCTTTTGCCATCAGAATTGTTGTCTAAAGGCAAAGAAAGATGCCCAACGGATTTACTTTACCAAACTGACCATCCCAGCCTTGCCGTAATGGTCCATTTGATTCACCTTTTATTGTTTATTTTATTTTCACTTACTGAATACGGGACAGACTTGACTGGGGGAAAGAAGGGGAGAAAGAAAGAGGGAAAGAGAAACAGCTGAGAAGAGGGACGGGGGAGAAGGGCAAAAGACAAAAACCAACAGAACGGGCAGAGAAAAAAAAATGCATATATCAATCACCTGGATCACCTGCTGAGAAAGAAAAAAGAAAGCAAGCAGAAGAGAACAAGAGTAATAGAATAAACAACATCACAATGATATATGGGAATATGACAGTAAATACTAAATGTTAAACATTATTGTGCAGCACATAAGATCAACAGAACACAGTGTGCTTTGAGGTAGGAGCCAAAAGGGTGTAGTTTGTGGGTGTGATCACCCGTGTGTACACCTGTGAGCATGGACGCGCTTGTTTTTTTTAAAAGGTTCCTTCATGTAATAATCTGCTAGAGGGTGTGGGGGGGCCACAGCCCCGTCCTCCAGGGCGTGAAGCAGGTATGGAGGAGATCAAAACTCCAGACATCCAGAGGCCCCCAGAACACAAGAGACCAAGGAAGACCAACAGAGGGGCAGCCGCGCCACTGTTCCAGAAAGAGCTGAGGAGAGTCCCAGATGAGGGCTCACTCAGCAGCCGCGGAGCAGAAGCCAGGGGGAGTTGCAGTGACGCGCCCGTGAGCTCCGCCGGCAGCCAGCTGCGCCTGAGTGACCGAGCCCCAGGCCGAGAGGCCGGGGGCACCCCACCTCCGAAGTGGCCCGAGCGAGCCCCAGGCTCCAGGCCCCGATAAGCGGCCGCCAAGGAGTGAGCCGGTGTGTACCTGGACGCCCATCCCCGGACACAAAGAACCACCAACGCACCGATGTCTGAGGGGTCCGCCACTGGCAGGGGAAGTGGTGGTAGGGGGAGATAGGCCTCCAAACCTTGGAGGGCCTGAGATGTCCCCAGAGAGGTGGCGCCTGACACCCAACCTGACATATAGACACAGACATACAGGCACACACAGATACAAACATCCATTCCCACCCTCATGCTCTCATATGCACTCACTCCACACTCAACCAACGTGGAGACAGACATAAAGAGACGTTGTACACACGATCACACTCCCCAAGCGTACTCTACAAACCGGGTCTAGGTGCCCCCGCCCCTGGAGGGGGGAACTGCACCCAGACCCAGGTGGTGTTTCCCTTTTCCCTGCGGTGGGGGGAAGCAGACCGCCCCGACTCCGCAGCAGCAGGAAGGCTCCACACTCCAGACCGCAGTCGGACGGCCAACTCCTCCTCCTAGTCCTAGCCCCCCTGCTCCAGCAGGTTGCAGAGAACGGGGGTGAGAGAAGACTCCGAACCTCCCTCCACCCGCTCATTGTAATGTTGATGCATGTGTGTTCTAAGGTGCATTTAAAACCCAGGAGGGCTTGGAGCTACCTGCCAGAGAGCAGCAGGTAAGCGCATGGTCCCTCCTGCTAGCCCTCAATGTCTACGTGTATTTAAAATTGAGAGGTGGGCAACGATGCCAGGGGTGGGGTGTACACCCTGATGGTACTTTGGACTCCGTGTATCGTGCCCACCCCCAAGATCCTATATGTATGTGTAATGAGAGTGTGAGTAATGTGAATGTCTAAGTTGTGGGATAAAATTGAGGCAGAGGCAGCCAGAAGGGGACAGGGGGGGTAGCCTCCTCTGCACCCTGGTGACATACCCCTACTCCAAGGCCCTGCATGTGTGGGTGGTTGTGGTGGAGCGGGAAGAGGGAGGCAGCTGGAGATGGGGAGGGTAGGAAGGGAGGGGCAAGTGACCCCTCCCTGGGGCCAGCTCCCCCGCTGACCCCAGTAGGCACCCCCATACTCCGCGACCCGCCAGGGAAAGGGGGCCCAGGCCCATCCAGACCGGGCCCAGTGCAGCAGCGCCGCCCGGCCCCACAGAGCCCGGGACAGTCCACCCAACCCCACCACAGAGAAAACTGCACCCACCCCACCATCCACTCATCTTCCAGACTACATAAGACAATAAACACCCAGGCTGAGATCTTCCTCCACCTCTCCTGTATCTCCCCCTCCTGCAGAGGCAGCTCCTGAGGAGAGGAAAGCTCCTGCAAGATGTGACAATCTCCCCACCAGTTGAAGAGCCCCCAGGTGGCTCGACGCACCGGCGGCACCCTGCTCCAGGGCTGGGCCCCCATGCACCCACCCGCCCACAACCCCGGCAACACACCAACCAGGACCCAAGCCCCCGAGGCCCGGTCCGGGTCCCAGCCCAGAGACGGAGCGCCCCCAGAACCTCACGCCCATCCCGGACCCACCCAGGGGCAGCCAGGCTACCAGGTCAGTAACCCACGTCCGTCAGCACAGACCCTCCCCTAGCCCCGCTGCACGCAGCCGCGAGGAAACAGTCACCGGAGAGCCAACAGAGCCCCTAACCGGACATGACCGCTACCCCGGGTTGAGCCCCCCAAGGAAGATGCCTCCGGGGAACCCCCCGACGCCCTAAGCCTGTCCCTACCCCCACACCAATCACAACAGTGAAGGCGGGACCAAACTATGACCCCCCCACCCCCACTAGGTGATGGAGCTGATCAAAGGAGCCCAGAGCAATTGATCTGATGTGGTGGCAGAGGCTGTATCAAGACTAATGTAATCTAATAGATAATTTCTATATTGGTTAGAATTAAGATTATTTTATTTTTCCAGTTCATGAGGACTGTTTTCTTGGCTATGCATAGGGCAGTGAAGATCATATGGGCGATATTCTTTTCTGAAGTGACATTATCTAAGCTGCCCAACAAACACACTAAGGGGGAAGTTGGAATGTTACATTTCAGACACTTCGATAAGTCTTCACATATCTCGCGCCAAAACTTCTGAACTGGTGGACAGAACCAAAGAGCGTGGATATAATTGTCCGGTGAATTGGTTTGGCAGTGTGAGCAGTTGTTGGTAGACGTAAAGCCCATCTTGAACATCCGATGACCTGTATAGTGCACTCTATGTAATATTTTGTATTGAATTAATTGAAGACTGGGATTTCTAATTAGATGAAAGGTTTTTAAGCAAATCTGAGACCAGAAGTTTAGGTCTAAGTTAACTGATAAATCCGCTTCCCATTTTGCAATAGGAAGTGATATTGATTCATCTGTTTTAGAAAGCATTCTGTATATTTTGGATAGTAATTTGGGGGTTTTAAGAGTAAGAAATTGAACCACACTTGGTGGTGTTTGTAGTTCAACTTGACCCGGTTTAAATTTCTTTTTTACTATGGATTTAATTTGTTGATATTCTAAAAATCTTTTCTTGTTGATCCCATATTGTGTAACTAGTCCGTCAAATGAAATAAATTCTGTTCCTTCTAGTATATGTTCTAAATATTTGATTCCTTTATCACTCCAATCTGAAAAGTTTATCATATTATTGTTTTGTAATATGTCAGGGTTGTTCCAGATAGGTGTACGTTTGCATGGGATTAATGAAGACGCCGTCAATTTTAGAAACTCCCACCATGCTGTCAGAGAAGAGCTGATGTTGATGCTTTTAAAGCATTCATGTCGTTGGATGTTTGAGCTGATAAATGGTAGGTCTGAGATCTCTAGATTATTGCAGAGTGCTTGTTCTACATCTAGCCAAGGTTCATCTAAGAGGGTGTGTTTTAGCCATCCTGAGATAAACTGAAGCCTGTTGGCTAAGAAGTAGTGCTGAAAGTTAGGCAGTTCTAGTCCTCCTTTATCCTTGGTCTTTTGTAGTGTTTTTAAGCTTATACGTGGGGGTTTATTTTTCCAAAGGAATTTGGACATACATGAATCTAGAGATCTGAACCAATCTTGTGGCGGTTTAGTTGGGAT